TTGGCTGGACTTGCTGGATTCTCCACTTGTTGCTTTGCTGCTGGTTACTTATTTCCCAAAAATGTGAAAACATACCTTTAAGCTAAAACCCACAGACATCTCAGGCTGTCCCATCACAAAATGGCAACATCTAAAAATAAACATACAGTATGTAGCACATAGGAGAAGAATTATGCATTTCTTACAATATAAATTCTTGGTTCCAACAAACAGCCAACATGTCGGTGAACAGTAAACCCATGTCCTAGTCTTCACAATATCCCTTTAAAACCTGTGATGCAACTTCACTGTTTTCCACAGTCTGTGATACTTAATGCCAGAAGAGCTGAATGATGTCTTTGTCAGATGTCTTTGCTGGTGCCCTTCTGCTCCTTTTCACTCTGCAGCAGAAGTAATGGAGAACAGAGAGAATGCAGCATCTCCAAAATGCATCTCCTTGATGTTCTTTTGCTGGGGCTCAAAAAGGGAGCGACTCTGAAACTAAGCCACTCAGGAGGCTCTTAAGGGGGAAACAAAGAGGGCTACAAGTTTGAAAGAGTTCAGAGAATTTAGAGAGAGAGACTGGTGATAGGATTTCTTGGTATCATGTTTATCGTGTCATTATTCTTTACCTTTTTTGTTGTAAGCGTCACCTTATTTTAATGCTTGAGATAGGCAGCAGTTGGAGAAAGCAATTGTAGAAGGGGCAGATGTACTTTGTGTTACTTTCTACTGCTTACATTTTCTATTTAATGCCATTTTATACTTAATACTACATTTGAGAAGGAAATATTGTACTTCTTACTCCACTACATCTATCTGACCACCTCAGGTGGTTTCGCTTAAATAACTTATTGAGGCTCCAAAGAGGTAAAACTATCTAATATTTCACATAAAAACAAAGATTACAGAAAAGTCAGAAAAAAATCATGAAGATTTGTGTTGTAGATCTTTGTTTTTTTTTTATCTTTCTCACCACATTAATCATCTCACGGCCGTCTCAGAATCAGCTTATGGCCATTTTACCTGTAATTAAGTATTTTTCATTGTTGGAAATATGTCTTCCTCCACAAAGCACAAAGGGCTTGTGCTCAGATACACATATAGAGAAACCATATTCAAAACCGTCTGTGAGAACACACTATATTCACACATACTCAGCACAAATACAGTATGGTTCACGTCCCTGCAATGCTGCAAAATGGCACACTTGACTCTAACAGTTGCATAAGCTGCACAGATGGAAATGGTTTGCAGCCAAGCACAGAATGACACAGATACTTTGAATTCATGTTTACATATTTTTTTCATCCCATCAGATTTTGAATTTAGGGTTTCCATGTCCTGCTAAATTTCACAGTTGTAAATCCATATTGCACTGCAATTAATTAAGACTCCTTATAATCCATGGACTCAATTAACACTAGTGGACATTTGCTTTGCAGGTCTGGTATTGCAAGTAGTTGCCCGGGTGACACACTAACATGCACCACCAGCAGACAGACCTGAACTCACACCAGATTACAGTACCAGCCTTTTTTAGCCTTTTAGGAGATGTCAGAAGGACGCCAAAATTATATTCTGGATGGAAAGCATGGAGGCCACTGCGCTCATCCGTCTCCAATACTGATGCATGGAAAGATGAGAGGAGAGAGAGAGGCAGCATCCAGGGCTTGTCTCCGCCTCGTCAGTCACGTTGACACCTGGAACCGCTCAATCTCCTTACCTGGTGGAGGACAGAGTGGCAGGGTGTGTGTGTGTGGGAGAGATGGTTGGACAGAGAGGATGACAGAAAGCTTGACAAAATGGATGAAAGGAATAAGGATGAGAAAAGTTGAAAGAGAGAGAGTGTGAGTGACAGACTCAGAGGTTGGAGTTGTTGAAGTTTACAATGACTCTTCAGCAGATGCACACATATTCTTTACACATATATCCACACATGCATATATTATGTTATCAGTGACTGCATTCAGACACATGGTGGTTTATTTACTGCGTCCGCTCACAAATAATCCCTTTTGAACACTTTATCCACAGTGTTTGTAACTTCTTTTTGGCTCTCTTATCAGAATTTAGACTTAAATCCAGCCTATTGGTCGTCAGATTATCTCTCACCATAACAAGTGCTCTAGCGAAATGCAAATAGGAGAGACTACATTTAGATTCACAACAATGAGTAGAAACATTGTGAGCAGAGATGGTCGTTCTACCAAATGACTAAAAGAAGTCTTCTGTTTTTCCAGGCAGGTCTATTTTCGCACAAGCAAAGGCTCACTTGCAGCTGAGTGTCGAAGAAGCAGACTTTATTTCTCTATTCATTATTCATTACTCATACAAGCTCTTATTTTAGAAGTTGCACACCAAGCTATATCCCCGCTAAAGATACTTTCTCTGCAAGCTTATGTGCTGCCATGTGTGATGAAAATGAGAAGTGAGCCTCCCATGCAAGAAAAGGAAGCAGGCGGGATTTTGCCGTGTTTAAATCCTTTTTTCAGATTTAAGGCTGTGTACACACAGAACACACTCTGGACTAGATATATATCTAGATATATAATATATATATAGATATATAAACTGATACACAGTTTTATTAATACTCATTTATATAAAATGGCTAATTTTAGCCATAAATGCAGACAAATGTTAGGCAGGTATGTAGAGGTTACATTTCTTCCAGTTAACTCTTATCACTTGTCTCTGCAACTTCTGTGAATACATAGAATTATGCTGTTTAGACCAAAAGTTTCTTTGAAGCCTCCTCCCCACTCTGGGGAGAATCGTGCCGATTTTTCTTCTGCAGCACACTGAATATGGCAGCCTGAATTTCCTGATTTTATGCCTTCTGACTCCAGTTTTATCATCATATCCAATACAGGGGGTAGGGGGGTCTTATCCTAATCTGGGTAATAACACACTGAGCTGTTATCACAGCCACTGTCAACTAGTGTGTAATTCTGGCTCCAATTCAACAAGATCTTTCAGGAAAGTCTACTGAGACATAAGGGTTTTTTAAACCTGGACCGTAGTTTCCCATGTTTCAGGGTCTATGTGACTAATTAGGCATCAGCGAAACAGGGCTGTAACGTAATCCTTGCGGGCAATTGCTCCCCGTCATCCACTACAGTGTTTGTTTTTACCACTGACTGTTGATTGTTATTACAAGTGTCTGACAACATTGTGGAAAGGAAAGGATTTTTGCTATTATTATTTTTGTCAAGGAAATGTGGTGGCTTTGATGTGAGCGTTATAGTGACTGTCTGATTAAACAAAAAAGGTTTAACTCTTTAATAATCTATCTCTGAAGCAATCCTTTCCATAATGTTTCAAACACTTAAAATAACAATCTGACTCTGTCAGATAAAGAAGCACTTTAGTGAACTTACTTTGACCCGGCACAATTACCTACAAGGATTACATTGCAACCCTGTTTGGTTGCTGCTGATCGCAGCGCGTTCGCTCAATACTGGACCAATGTAAAAAAATGTTGTCTCACTTACTCACACAGAGACAGAGTCCAGGTAATTGATTATCATTATATATTTTGCTATAAATGTTGATTTATTTTTGCAGGTAACTATTAAAAAAATTTATTAGCCGTGCTAGCAGCGTAGCTCTACTGATGTTAATGTTGATCAGTCTATCCAATACTTGTGTTCAGTCTGAAATATCTCAACAGCTACCAGATGGATTTCCATGAAATGTTGTACAGGCATTCATGGTGCTTAGGGGATGAATTCTGATGTGATTCTCTAACATTTTATATAGCACAATCAGCAGGTCAGAATGTTTAATTATCTAGTGAAATATCTCCATCTACTAGATGGACTGGCACAACATATTGTACAGGCATTCATGGTTTCCAGATGGTGAATGCCCTGACGTTTTTTTCTAGCGCTATCATGAGTTTAACTTTTGTGGTTTTGAGTGAAATATCTCAAAAAACTGCCACGAAATTCAGCACAAACATTTATGTCACCGCCAGGGTGAATTGTAATGATGGTGGTGATACCGTAACTTTTCATCCAGCGCCATCATCAGGTGAAAAATTCAATACTTGAAAAGTGAATAAGATTCAGTTGTACTTTCTGTTTAGTGCTAATCATCAAATGTTAGCATGCTAACACGGTAAAGAATTATCTTGTATTGTACCACCTTTCATAAAAGGCTTGCTTTATCAGAAACATATATCACTTCATATCTGAGACTAGTTATGACTTCATCCACATAGAAACAACATTACAGCAAATCAGAGACCAATAAGAATGAATAAACTCAAGGCCACCACACTCTAATGGGAGAAAAGAGTGGGACAAAGATAGAGAAAAAGAAAGAAGGAGCTAACCCATTTGTGTTTTGGACTAAACCTGCATCACACAAATAAATGGGCTTATAAAAGTAGGAAGTAAGAAAGATGAGGGTAAAATGGTCTTCGGAAACAGATCAAATCAAAACACAGCAACACAGATTCCCACATTCCCCTCTGTGTTTCACGTTGCACCTGTTATTACACCATAAAAAGCCACCTTCCACTCTAACACTCATACATGCAACCATTCACACATATAAGTACACATAGTCTAGAAGGCGTAGACACATTTGTATTAGCTGCATGACTGTCCCCCCTGTCTGTGTGTGTGTGTCTGTGTGTGTGTTGGGTGTCACTATTTGCTGTCAACTTTCTTGTTTTTTGTTCACATTTTCTCTCCTGAAGATTCTGCTGAAATAAATAATTGCTTTTGATCTTTTTTTCACTCTTGTACACTGTGGTTTTGTCAGCTGTTCTGTGCTGTACATTTTTACTCCGTTTCATTGTCTGTCCGTGTTTAGACAGACAAGAGAAGCAGAGAGAACAGAGCAGGTAGACAGATGAACTGGCCCTACACACAGTTGGTAGCTGAGTGAGGTCATACACAAAAAAGTGTCACCTTCTTACCACTAACCCAGGCAGCCTGGAGAAGAGGTCAGAGCTCACCACGGATGCAGCAGCAACCTCACTCTGCGTTTTCTCCTCCTTTCTGCAGCGATGACCTTTCTCCAGACTCATCTTTGGGGGAGGAAGGGAAGGGAGGAGAGGGGGAGCTGCAGAGTGAGGTCGAGTCACAACCACAGCCACAGCCCCAGCAACAGCAGCAAGAGATTCAGCCACAGACTGACCCACCACCACAGCCAGAGCCCCAGTCTGAGCCCCAACCACAGCCCGAAACCAAATCTCAGCCAGAGCCTGAACCAATACCCCAGCCTGCACCGGAGCCCGAGCCTGAGCCTGAAGTTGAGCCCGAGCCTGAGCCTGAGCCTGAGCCTGAGCCTGAGCCGAAGCCGAAGCCCGAGCCCGAGCCTGAGCTGGAGCCCGAGCTGGAGCCCGAGCCCGAGCTGGAGCCCGAGCTGGAGCCGGTGCCGGAGCCGGAGCTAGAGCCCCAAGTCCAGTCTCTGAGTGAGGAAGCAACACAGGACGCCCCTAAAACGCCTTCACCTTGCCTAGATGAGCAGACATGGGGGGAGCAAGAGAAGGAAAAGTCTAAAGAAGTTGTGGGGGCAAAGAATGAGGGCGAGGCAGCGCAGGAAGAAGAGGACGAGGAGGAAGGGGGAGGCGCAAAAGGAGGTGGGGCGGGGAGGAGAGCCAGCCTGCACCACACGGCCTCGCCCTTGAGGGTGCAGCGCAACGGGACCGGCTCGCACTCCGCCACCTCCGACTATGAGCTCTCGCTTGACCTCAAAAATAAGCAGGTAGGGTTGTGTTGTGGATGGGGGACGGGGTGAGGTCTGGTGTGTTGTTTGGGTGAGGGGAGTGGGAGGGCGGCAGGTACAGTAACTTGTGTGTATTGTACGTCTTGTGGTCTGACATGTTTGTGATATTTAGTTTTCTGTCTGACGAGGAGGACTTTTGGTTTGGACTGGTTTTTGATGAGATTGTTATTTTTGTTTGTCATATTGATCCTTACTGGCACTAGACTTTCCAAAATGTACCAACTAATGATTCCTTTTCTTCATTATCATGAACCATCATTGTCATTGCCATATCATCATTTCATCAACATCCTCACATGGGTTTGTCTTTCAACAAATCTGGACTATGAAAGTATGTTTTCTGAAAGTACTAAATTATTTATCCCCAGGTATTTTACTGCTGTGTTGTAATTTACAGTAGAGTGACTCATGTACATACATTTTTAGGTTGAGGTCTTTTATACATTGTATCATTTTGGACACGATGCAAACGTACACATACACACATCAGGGTAAAATAAAGACAATGTGCAAACAAGTTGCATTTGTATCTGCATGAATGAAAAGCCAATTTGTCTTGTCTCTGCTGCTTTATGAGATACTCTGGATGATGAAAAGCCCCCATTTCCATTGGAGAAAAAGCATGTGACTGTTATCTGTTGTCATCTTATTACAGCCAGTTAAACCGATTTTGTCTGAAACTGATCTGTCTCTATGAACTGTGACTGTATTTAAACATACATTTCCATGTTCTCATGTTTGTGTCCTTATCGTGCTGTTCATCAGGGGCTTGGAAATCATTACATAATCATCTCCATTTCAAGAGCCATCAAACATTCTCCATCCGTTTTCATTATCATCCATCTAAACAACATTCTTCAGTCCATGGATCTTCGATCAGGTAAGGCAGCAGAGTTTGGGTCTAACTTGTGGGGCTTCCTGATCTGTTTGCCACAACTGCAGTTTTAAAGTGGCACTCCATTGAGAAGTTCAGTTTACTCGTCACACAGCCTGTGAGGACAGTTGTATAATGTCTTATGTGGCTCTGAAATGGAGATTTCTTTTTTATTTTTATTTATTTTTTTTTTAAACCTGTCCTGCCTAGCCTGGTATAGAGTATAATGACCTGGATACCATATTGTGCCAATGTGAAATGGAGATTTCTGAAGTTTGAAGTAATAACCCTAATGATGTCATCTGGGTTATCTTGGCTTAAAGATTTTTAACAGGCAGTCTATATCACAAGCTGAAGATGTGAGGTTTGAAAGGAGTGCATATTGAGGAGGCAGCAAGGGTTTAGGAGAAGTTGCATTATGGGATATGTAGGATCCAGTGGTCCAATTTGGGTGCTTGACACATACTAGGTACTAAATCTCAGCTTCTGCTGCTTAAATTTTTATCATTCTTTTTTTTAATTGCTCTTGTGTGCGTCATCCAACTTTATGGAAGTGCAATACCAAATTATTTGAGTACATCTTTAGATCATTTTTGCTGATTCCAGCTTCTCAACTTTGTGTATTTGCAGCTTTTCTGTTTTATACCATTGTTTTTGAAATTGAAATATTTGTATCATATCATAGTTGCTAGGACAAAACAAGCCGTTTGAAGAAGCTAAAATGGACAGTTTAAACTACTTTCTGGCATTTAGTTGACCAGTTATCATCACAATAATCAGCAGTGTACATATTTTTACAATATTCATGGTTTAAATGATTTCTTTATGGAAGCACAAAAGTTGCTGACCTCCCTTTCTTAAGTCTTGAGTTCCATTACTGTCATTGCAAGTGTGGTGTGGCACACCTGACCACACTTAATCAACAACCCAGAACAATTGGTAAACAAAGTCACCCTGGTGTTAAGTGTTTCTCAGCCTCAGGGCACCATCTATAGACTGTGAAAACAAATATATTCAGAGGTGACACTGCCAGTGTCAATTGGATTGGGTCTGTCTGTGTTTGTTTAAATTCAGTCAACGAGAAGAAAACATATAAAGCTGCAAGATGAAACATCAAAGCATTATTGTAGATGTTTACTAAAGTCCATCTTCCAAGCGAGTGATCACTGAAACTAATGTATCTGAGTGAGATGGTTGCTTTATTTCACTCTATGTCAGCTGCATTTTCTCTCTGTTTTGACTTAATTCCCTCACTCATCGCTTCCCTATTCGAGACTAAAGGTTCTTTTAACCTCAGCTCCTTACGTGTCTTCTTCTCACCTCCATTGTCACTCTTTTAATCTCACTGAAAGTCCCGTCTTCCACTATCTCCCGGTCAACAATGCTAGAGATACGCGATCAGCGAGATTGATCTTCTGTCTGTATAGCTGGGGGTGCAAGGGCTTGATGCATCTACAGATCAATGTCAGGGTAATTGGATCCGCAGCGCAATACCTTAATTGCTGGGGAAGAACCAGATGAAGGAGTATTTGAGCGTTAACTCAGCATTCAACGTCCACTTGAACTTTTTTGTAGTTTTTCAAACTGGTTTAAAATTAGAACATTTTACATTTTGGCAATTTTGTGTTTTATATTAATATGCATTTCTTGTTCTTAAATGAAATAATCAAACAAGTACAAATTATTTGTACCATACAATAACCAAAAATAAAAGCACACATCTTTTGGTTAACAGAAGAACAAAAACAACTCTAAGCCTGGAGGAAGTTACAATTCATATAAATATAGGTATATATTTCTCAAGAGGTATTCAATTTTACAGCATGAGGATTCTTAGAAAAAACAACTGGAGTCAATATACCCTTCAGCCTCCTTTGTAAAAACCAAGAGGTTGCACTTTTAACCTGAAAAATAGCATTGATGAGTATGAAATTTAAAAATAAACCTTTTAGAATAAAAATGTATGTCATTCTCCATGCTCCCAAATAGTAAAAAGTACCAATAATATTAAATGTTCATCAATAAGGCTGTTGATAAAAAAATACAAGTTAATCCAAAAAAGTCACAAAAGGGCAGTACCAAAATGAATGAACAACAGAGAAGTGCATTTAAAGTTCACATTCAGTATATGTGTAGATAAGTTCACAAGTAGCTCCAGCATCAAACAGTATTAAAATCCACAGAAAGTGCAGAAAAAGCCGTGTCCACTTTGTCTGCGAACTGACGCGTCTGCGAAATTGAAAATGTTTAAACTTGAATGAAACACTCCTAGGGCACATTTCCCGGGGCAAGGGAAAAGAAGAGAGGAAAATACCTTTTCTGGGGAGGTCTGAGTTCAGTCGCTGAGCCAAACAACGCCTTTGTTGCATCTGTTGCTAGCTTGCTAGCTAGCTAGTGAATTGTGCAGTGGTGGTTTGGGGCGATTAAAGAAGCGCAAATGGTCTAGCGGTCATATTCACAAGAATTATGCGTGGCAAAAATTTGCTGTCTGTTTTATCTCTGAACACACCTTGAGTCTGTTTTTATTCCACCAATACACTGACTTGTCACTAGCTTGGTTTTAGGTTATAGCAGGAGAAGGCCATGATGTGGATGGAAATAAAATTTGGGGGGAGCCAGTTAATCTCCAGAAAAACTCAAACACAGCAAAAATGAGCATTCAATTATAAATTCAAAATAGGTGTACAAAATTTTTAAATTCCATTTAAATTGTTTTTAAGAGACAGTGTGCTTGTCAGACTCATTTGTTATGTGCATTTTCATTTGCCTGTCTATGCCAGTCCATTTAAACTCTCTCAGCCAAAGCCTTAGAAACAAAACCCTGTTTATAGGATATAGCATACTAAAAAGATGTCCATCAAACGGAGAGGTCTTGGAAAAATGAGTAATACAGGTTCAGTCCGCTGACTGTAGTCTTTTGTTTTACAGGACGATGAAGTGATAGGTGATGAGTCTTGACTTTAAACGTCTGTATCATCTCATAATTTTTTGCCACTGTAATGAAGTTTTTTGATTGACTCAATGTGTTTTTAAATTATTATTAATTTCAGTTTTTTTTATCTGCAACAACTTCCAGTAACTACTGACCTTTTGCAATAACTGACTTTGGTCAAGGATGAATCAGCTTAACGGCTCACCATCCTCTGATGTCTTTTATTGTCATCCTCATTTTGTAATACAGTCAGCATTAGTTGTGTCCCAGTTTTGCTGTTATATAATCATCTCATTAATCATGCAGATGTTTCTGTGCTATAAGACAGTGTGCATGAGCATGAAAGCTAATAATGAAAGCTTTGCATTTTTGGCCCTTATTTATTTCTGAGCAGGTGAGATCTGATAATCTGCTGTTTTACAAATCTTATTTATGTCTTTTCTTTCACATTTAATGGTGAACGGTGCATTTAATGTTAGTACGACTGGTATTATATGAAAATTCACAAATTTACCATTTTAATCTCCAAAACATTAACATTTCACAAATGAAGAAAAACAGATAATTAATTGAGTTTTTAAATGGTTATTACCTAGCCTAGGAAGTTGTAGATGTTTAAACTTAATTCTTAAATTCATCTGATAAATTACAAATCACCAAATTTGAAGATATACAATACATCGTCACTGGACAGCAATGTTGTCATGTTCCTGTGCCACTGATCGATAACACTCTCATGTCTGTATGTTAAATACGAAGCTACAGCCAGTTAGGTATGGATAAACAAACATGTCAATTAATGAGCTTTAGAGGTAATGGGATTTTGTTACTTCCAGATGGAGCCAAGCTAAGATTATTTAAACTAACCAGTTTCTGGAGCTAGCTTCAAATTTACCATACAGACATGAGAGTGATATCAATCTTGTCAACTCTTGGTGGACATAATAATCATGGCACACATCTTGAAATAGAAAAATCTCCCTCTTGAAATTACAAAAAACAGGCTGTGCGCTGTACTTTCAGATGACCTTAAGTTCTGAGACACATTTACATTTGAAGCTCAAACATTTCCAGACTAAAACACATTTCTTTTCTAAAGCCCCTGGGTATTAATATTTCATATATAGCCAGAGAATGTCCCATATTTCAAGTCAAGATATCTACAGTACATCGCTATCTCATGCTGAAAATCAGCTTTTGCTTCTGTAACCAGAAAATATCTGAAATGGCTGTGCATTTGAGGTCATGTTTCTAGTTCAATGTAATCATTACCTCAAATTTCTATACTCATATTTAACACACCTTCTCCCCCCTAGAAATGAACCCTCCTTTATGTGTCCTTGACTTTAAATATTTACAGTACATGTTCCATTTATTCATCTTTATCCTTTTTTATAAAATGATTCCACCTTCTCCTCTCAGTTGTATTTTGCCAGTTCTGCATATATGTAGAACTGCATTCTGCAGCGTTGAACCACTTTGCACTGCTATGTTTTGCTCCTTTTTTCACATCTAATTCAAAGGTGAACGTGAGGTCAGCATGGTGCTGGGGGGGCGGGGGGTATTATCAGAAGTAGTATTACACTACAATACCACATCGCCGCACTCCTCTCACTGCAACATATATCCAACACGCCCTTTTAATTAGAGATGACTGAGGACACCACTATCTGTATCTGTCCAGCAAATTAAATTATCTGTAAATGTATCCGTAATCAAAATGGGCGGGGCTTAACCCAGACATGGACTGGACTAGATTTTATTTAAGCCTGAATTTGGTATGGGTTGATCAGAAGTTGCTATATTTATTAGAACTTTATTTACAGAACAGCCTCAGAATTGAGCTTCAAATCAATGTTTTTGATTACACTAGTAAGAGAACTATTTTTTTTTAAAGGTTCCTATACTTACTGTGTTGATGGTGCTGGCATCTCATCTCCAGTACACAATCCCTGCTAGACTGGCATGAAATCCTTTTTTTACTCTCTTCTTCCTCTCCATGCTTCTTTCCTCTATCGTCTTGGTAGCTGTAATTCCATCTGATGGAAAAGTGTATCAGATAGACTTTCTGATAAAGAAAGCAACATGACCAAAATGCTTTATTCATCATCTCTGACCCGGCTTACGCAGAAGACAAAACAAACAAGCTGGACTGCCACATTTAATCAAACGCAGCCACACTGATGGCCCTTTCTCACATTCAAGGGCACCTCTGTGGAACTCTTTGCAGAATTTGGTTTGATGAGGGACACCTTTCTGAGTAATGAGGTCAATCATATTACCTTTGCGCCTGACTAAAAATAAAAAAATAGCCTATACAAGGTCTATCTTGGAGCTCCTTTATGCAGATAAGGCTAACCTTGTCATTTCAAGAGTGCACACAGCGCAGTCACAGAACAATCCAGATTAAAAAGTGATGAATATTCAGGCTGAGTTCGACCAGTCTGCAAGAGTTGACAGCTACTGAGAAGTCGCCATCAGCAGATACAGTAGAGCTCCAAACCAGCGTCCTATTCAGAAACCACTTTAATATTCTCAGTACGTCTCACTTTGCTCACAGAGGCTCTGCAGTGAAATGTAAATGGAGTAGATAAGATGGATTTTCAGTGTCATTCCACTTCTCTAAAGAGCTTTGTATGTGATTCCATTTCTCCAGTGACATCGGCAGAGGCTGCATCTTGTTGAACTAACCACTTATCACAAAATGCAAACCCTTGAGCCATTACAGCCTATCAGGAGACCGTACAAGGTGGTTGGGTGACTTTGGCCAGGACTAAAGCAAAAAGTGGCAGAAAGTCATATTTTGATTTTCATGGCCATGGTAACCATTATTACAAATTTCCAGAGGATTATTTTACTTGGACCAAATAATCAATAATTCTCATGTGCACATTACCCTGAGACAAGAGCCCCCAAAGAAAACACTGAGGGAGGGAACATCATGGATTTCTTTTTCCTAGAATTAAATGCAATGCTGTTTTTAATGGGCACTTCAATGCAGTAAATTTAGAATGGGTACATTTTTTCATATTTGTGAAATGACAGAATGCGACACTGCTATTCTTTCCAAGCTTAATCCTCCCCCACACGTGTGCCCTTGATAAAGTTATAAAAGAAACAGAATTATATTCATTGATTTAGTCTGAATGAAAGGGATTTCAGAGTGACTCGAAGATAAGAGCTCTTTCTGGGCACTTCCAAAGATACCCACACCCTGATTGTTCTGGGAAACTCAAAGAGGTCTCATCTAGTGTTTGAGCTGCTGCCAGATGAGGACGGCTATATTACATCTCTATCTATTTCCCACAGCATTTGAGCAATTTTTCACAGGCAAGATTAATGGCTTGTTCAGTTTCAGACAATTTAAAGTTGTGTGGAGGACCTCTCTGTGGAATTCGGAGAGATTATGAGTTCTATTTGCGGAGGAAATGAAGAGTTTGTCCAAATGCCATGAGTCAGCTTTTATTGTGTTCTCTCTTTCAAACTGTGGCTTTGACCAAATTGTGTATAGTTTCAGTACACACATCACAAGGCAAGCTTGCAAAATAAAATGACTGAACCATCTCCGGGTATTATTATTTGAATTTCAGCTTTAATATTTGAATTTTGCCTACTTCTTCTAAAAAATGGACTATTCAGCCCCTTTCCCAGCATAATTATCCCATTCGTCTTTTAATGTACTGCTCATTCATTTTCCACCCACACTCCACCTGTTTTCATATCTCTATTCAACTCATATAACATATTCATCTTCCATGCACCACAGCGACAGGCAAGAGGATATTAAAATGTTGAAATACTGGTAGTGGCATGGTACGCATGCTCCCTTTTCACAAATATAAGCATCCTTGATACAGGGGATTATGTGAGTCACAGATGAAGAGCCCTCTTTGACCTGGACTGTTGTTCGACAGTTTCTAATCAATTCGTAGCCATAACTGTCAAATAGTCCAGACAGGAATGATTTTACCAGTAACTGTGGATTGTCCTGATAGATTACAGGCTGTTGTCTTTTTCCTGTGAATTCAAAAATACAACATTAATTCCAGCAATTCATTGTTTTACTTTTGTATCCTTCTTTGTTCTACTTTTTTAGATCGAAATGTTAGAGCACAAATACGGTGGCCACCTCATCTCCCGCCGTGCTGCCTGCAAGATCCAGACTGCCTTCCGCCAGTACCAGCTCAGCAAGAACTTCGAGAAGATCCGCAATTCGCTGCTTGAGAGTCGTCTTCCTCGACGCATTTCCCTGCGCAAGGTCCGTGTGCAAAACACAGAAGGTTTCTCTGCTGAACGGGCCCTGGCAGAAGGCTGCAATTTGGCAGGCATCCCATTGGTGCGATCCCCATCTCTGCCTACCACAGTTGGTGGCACCCTGACCGACCTGGAAGACTCATTCACTGAACAGGTCCAGTCACTGGCAAAGTCCATAGACGACGCACTCAGCAACTGGAGCTTGAAGACTATGTGTTCACTGCAAGAAGGCGGCACTTATCAGTTCAGTGCTGACTCCTTTAATGCAGCAGCAGCAGCAGCCGCAGGAGTAGCAGGTGGAGGAGAAGTAGGTGGTGTGGGAGAGTCAACAATTCCCCAAGGCCTGGTAGACCCAAGTGACCTGTCGATAAGCGCAAGCAAGCTGATGATGGCATTCCGGGATGTGACGGTGCAGATCGACAGCCAGAACTTTCGTGTTTCATCCTCAGTCTTGGAATCTTCCGCTTCCGTCACCCTCAGCAGCTGTGTCCAACAAGAGGACACTGTCACGACTACTTCCACAACAACAAACTCCACTCCAGCCTTCATTCCTCCTGGTCCCTCACAAGAACCCTCTCCTCCTCCTGCAGAGCTCCCAGCTGAACCCATAGATCCCCCTCCACCCCCACAAGAACCCCCTCCACCCCCAGAATCAGATATAGAAGGAGATGAGCAGGACGTTGAATTCCCTGCTCCTCCTCCGAGTGAAGAAGAGCTAGGGGATGATGAGCAACCTCCCATAACCCCTCTGGATAAGATGGCTGCCCCTCAAAGCCCAGAGGAGATTGTGGTGGTGGCACCACCACCCACAGAACCCCCGTACGCCCCTCCACCACACAGGGCTTTACTGCTGGGGAGCTCCCCCTTGGTAGAGCCCCTGGAGGTGAAGAGGTGTGGCTCTGAGACAGCAGACAACAGCTCAGAGCAGATGAGCAGCAGCAGCACGTCGACAGAGGCACGCTCCACATCTGAAGCCTCGTCCAAGGAAACACTGCAGGCCATGATCCTCAGCCTGCCGCGCTACCACTGTGAGAACCCCGCAAGCTGTAAATCACCCACCCTGTCCACTGACGTCATGCGAAAACGCCTCTACCGCATTGGCCTCAACCTCTTCAATGTGTGAGTAGCCACTGCATTTTCATTCTTTTGTCTTTAGATGATTCTAATTAAATTTTCAATCAGGCTAAAGTTTTGTGTCACTTCAAGTCACTGCTTACTGGTTAGCCATAATTAACTGCAGTGAAACACAAAATTAATGAAACAATTAGTTTACTGGTTGTGAGTTAGTTAATCAGGGTCCAGTAATGTAATTGTTCTTCTTGAAAAGTATAAAGGAAGTATATATTCTGATTAATTAATTATTATCGTGAAGATTAAAAGAGAAGTACAGTGGTTTTATTGGAAAGGATAGAATATCAAAGGATAGAATATTTTATGTACAGTGAGATTTATGAAACAGTCTGGATCCAACCCGCATCTAAGTGTACATCTAAGTTTGACAGGTCCCTCTGGACTCTAAGAGCAAAGAAAAGCTCTTTTCCTCACAGGTCCCCATTGTACTGAAAGAACAAAGAGAATGAAGCCCATGTCCCAAGCTAGATCTGAGGTGCCTTCTTTCTTCTCACAAAGACAAATCAGAACAGGTACAAAAAGAGAGGATGACTTATTGAGACAGAGAAAGGTGTGAAGATTGACATGGTGGAAAGGACAGTCCCACAGCCCTAAGTTACAGTGTCTACTGCTGCCTGTCAAGTGTTTCATTCTGACACGGCACAGTTAAATGAAAGCAGTGGCATTTTACCACCTTTTTTTCTTTTTTGAAACAATAGGCAAAAACAGGCTAGTCTTTTTTACAAGGGCAATTGTCAATTTGCTGGCTGAATTGAGATCTGTCTTGATTATCTGGCAGATCAGTTGTAGCTAGCTAGCTCAAATTACTTAAGCTAACAATGACTCCATGAGGGGTCCTAAATATGTACTTGATGGGTATAGTAGACTGAAGCTAAAGCTACATGTCCCACGCAAAAAGTCTGCGTCCTCACCAGTTGATAAACTAGACACATGTAAATAGCATTGTTCTTGTCTGTTATTTCACTGTTAGGCTACTTAGCTTACATATTTTGTTTGTATTTTAAAGCAGGTGTTTTCACTTAACATGAGACTTTTAGGATGAAGGAAACGAAATGCCAACATCATTTCAGGTAACCTTGGATGTGGTTGCGGGAGCGTAAAATTCCCCAAATCCAAGAGCAAGACAGAACTGCACATGTTTAACTTTGGGGAGAAATATTAACATTAACCTGTCTGCAACATGCTAAGCTGGCAAATTATTTAGCTAATGTTGTGCTCTTTGGCTGTGAAAATAATGCTCAGTTACCAGGGAGTATGTCAGGACTTCATGTGGCTCGAACCCAAATGCAGGCAGGGACACGGTTCAGGAGGGTAGGAAGCAGTTTATTGAACACAAGAAAAAGGTAGACAGATGCGAGGTGGGATTCCTCCGGTGTGGCGAGACAGAATGAGCTAGGCCAGGCAGGGGGGAAACGGCGAGACTTCCAGTGTAGAGCGGGGTCTCCACGGACTCTGCAGCTGGAGGAAGACGCCCAGCTCTCGGGGACCTGGCCCACAACTCCGCCCTGAAGGAGAGGGAGAGAGAGAGGGGGAACACCACAGGGAGACAGACAAAACCAAAACCCACCAAGCACCTTTCACACACTCCAAAAGGGGAAAAAATAACTTAAAACAAGCACACAACACACAGCTGTCACCTCCCTGCTTGGGGCGGCGTGACAGAGTAAGCTAGTTAAACCAGATATGCTAATGGTTGAACTTGTGTTAATAGGCAAACATGCTGTTTAATCCATTTTTTAAAGGTTAAAATAAAGACACCATCTTCCAAACTCTTTAAATGGCAAGGATTGCTCTTTCTATTTCTGCTTGAAAATTTAGAAAAATCCACAGATTGACAGGCATGCTCTGCCTAGTTAAGGTTTCTCAAAATAGTTTCTTTTGCCTGCCTTGAAAAGCTTGTTTAAGTTTGCTGGTTGTAGCTTTTCAGTCATTGTGGATTCAGTTCCCCTTGCTGGCTAGAGAAGAGTGACAAAGTCAAAATCAGATAAGACCTTCCCAAGAGGCGCTCCAGACAGGTGCAAGGTGGTTACATGGCAGCAAGAGATAGGAAGAAAAAGCGTTGCCATGGTGACAACATTGCATGGGGCCAGCACTGACTGAATTTGTTGATTTGTTGAGAGAAACACTGAATCCTTGAGACGTGTCAAACTCACTCAGTTTTATAGAAAACTAAAAGCGTAGTGAACTATGACCTCCAGCTACTTATTATACTTTAAAAGATCAAAGAGAAACACTGAAAAACCCTATTCTTACATATTACATATGGTAAATTTATGTTTACAGTTATTTCAAGCTATAAAAGCAGAGTAAAATCTAGTGTGGGAGCTGACTTTAGCTTGGTGTACGCCTCAAAACAACCCAGATTTTATTTGTTCAACACTTTGAATTCTCCTTTTAGAAATGTTTGTAACCACATGACTCCTGAAAATACGCTATGCGGCCAACGGCACACTTGGAAGCAATCTTTAAATAGGGAGATTTACCATATGCTCTATTAGCTTTTCACCCAGAGCATACCCTAAAGGACCTAAACACCCCATATATTCAAATAAATGTACTGGCTCACTCATATATTACAAGTTGAGCTCAACCACTGATGGAGCAGCTGCGTACAATTACTTGGAATACATGAGGGGTGAATTCAAAAAATAATGGCAACGATCCACAAAGCCTAAAATTCTCATTAGTCATTCTGCTGCGAGTTGTGAATGTAATTAAAAGTTCCTTCAGCACTGTGTGAACTGACACCTTGGGAATTGGAATGAAAAATTTGTTAACATTTCAATCCAAGCAGGGTTTTTTTGTCCCTGCCAACTCAACCATTTCTGTAGAAGCTCTCTGTGCTTTCCAGAGTATCTTGCAGTGATGCAAAATACACTGTGTTCCCTTGGGTGCAAAACCACTACAAGATTTTGTTAAGATATTTCCCCAATTATGCCATCTCATACAAATTTAGAAGATTGGAGCTCATAAACACACGCATTATCTTTTTTGTTCACTGCCAAGTTCTGCAGCGCAATAAAAGTGCACAATAAAGCCGATTAACTTTGACTCAGTGCTGGAGCATGACACTGAAAACAAGAGGAGCAGGAATGAGCTGTGCGGTAACTGGGCGGAAGATGGAATAATCACCCGCCGAAATGTACAAAATATACAAAATAAAATAAAAATGTTAATGGCCTAAAAGAGAGATGTTAAACTGTCAAGTAAATTTAAGTATGGTATATTTTTCTGTTTTCAAAGGCAAAGAGGAAGGTAGATTGAACAGAAAATGTAACATGGTGCATTTTTAATTAGATTAGAATATCAAATATCAACACATCTGTTTAGGAGATCTCCAGAAGAGCATAAAGAAAAAAAGAGATTTATATTAGAACAAATCCTGCCCAATGTTGCTGTTAATGTGCATAAAAATGTATCTTGAACTAACTATTTTTGTCATAGTGTTTAGCCTTTTATACTTGATTTCAACTAACCAAATGGTGTGCAACAATTATCTAATTATACTATAAAAATGATGATGGATGGATGGATGGACTATAAAAATTTAAGGTTCAAGGGGGCAAATTCTGTATGTCTGTATTTAATATAGTGTACACTGGCACTAGTTAGGGCTGCACGATTAATCAAATCGCCCAAACCATGATGTTTGCCCAAATCTAACCAAATTGTTTTTGTACTTAAACTTAACCAAGCCTTAACCAGAGCGTTGTCACATCATGAAACAGATTTCATTTTCAACAGTGGCTTCTAACGGTATTGAAAAGGGACATACAAATGATGTCATAGTGGCATCAGTTTAGAAAACGCCTCTGTGTGTGGTTCTAAAGGGCATGGATAAAAGAAGTATTTTTTCCTTTAATTTGAAGGACTTGTTAAATTGTGAACAGCTAAATTTAACAATATACAGTAAAACTACTGAAAGGATAGAGTTATGGTTTGGTGGTTCAAGTTTAGGTCAGTATTTAGTCATGATGAAATGAGCAAAAAAACTACAACAAAATATTTAAATGATTAAAATTAATATTGGATCTAATGTGAAAACATTAGCCTTGTTAATCCAAAGGAGGAGATGAGACTTCAAACCTGGCATCGATACTCTCAATTCCCAAACATTGCTTTAATCTTTATCTTTGTAGAGCACATAATGGTATTTTAGTCCAGCCTACCAGTTAGATTGAGTAACTCTCTCAAGCCCTTCCACTTCTAACAAAATGTCTCACTCGGTCAGACTATATTTACTATACTCTTTACAATTATTTATTCAAAAATGTCCACTTTGATAGTAGCATCTGTTTGTTCAGATTTCATTTGAAACCGTTTTTATTATTACCTATCTTTTGAAGGAAAGGGATGACTCTACACATTTGTAATGACTGTTTAATGAAAGCTCCCCGTTTGATTACGAGGTTCTGTGACTCTTCAGAGATATATTCACAAAATGACAGGCTTCATAGGCTTTTCTGTCTGTTTGCAATTCCCGTCTTCTCATTCACCCGATCAAACACCTTGAAAGATAAGCTGACTTTTAATAAATTGACTACAAGGGAAGAGAGAGATAGAATGAGCAAGGGAGAGCAAAAAATAAAAAAGTAGAGAGACAGAGGGCAATCGAACTTGGGGCTTATTAGTTCCACCAGTTCATATCCTCCCTCTAATACCTGCGCTGTTGTATCCTTTGCATCTTAAACAGGGCTGTTTGCTTTGGGCTAAAACTTGGGTATTGCTTGATCATGCGGACAAAAAAGCTCAAATGCCCACAGCTGGATAATGTGATGTGTGAGTGTGTATGAGTGTGTGTTTGTCTTGCAGATGGTACATTACAGAGACGTCAGACGTTTGAGGTGTATCTGTGTGTGTGTGTGTGTGTGTGTGTGTGTGTGTGTGTGTGTGTGTGTGTGTGTGTGTCGTGCGCGCAAGAATAAACATATAGAACAGTGAGTGATGGAAATGGAGTGCAAAAGCTAGAGAGAGGAACTGAAAGAGTCACAAAAAGGTAGAGGGGGAAAAGGTTGAGAGAGAGGCCACTTGATAAAGTTTCCACCTGAGTGTGGATGGAATGACAATGACTCCATTATGGGAGGGGAGAGTGTGTCAAGGACATCACACAAGGGAGCTGGTACCAAACCTTCAGCGGGGAACGGGCAAAGAGAGAGGGGAGGATGTGAGCAGGTGTGACATTAATCACAGATTCCTAAGTAGATTTCTCTTTTTGTATGCATGACTTTTCCATTTTACACTACTTGGTTAGACATATCCTTAATTCACTTTCCTCCCGCACACATTTTAGTGGAGTGAATACATTGATCAGACATCACAGCAGCTCATGGTGGAATCAGATCAACTCCCTGTCACGCGTGAAAGCACTGTCAGTGAAGTATGAATTAAATAAAAGGTGGCATAAGAGATTGTGGTGAAAGTGTGAAGAAACAGAGTGCAAGAGAGAGAAAAGACAGATCTGAATACATATGTCGAGTAAGGCTAATTAACACAGCAGATCTGCAAAGCCTGGCCGACTGCTCAAGAGGGATAACCTGACGCCAGGAGGAGAGAGCTCTAAAAAAAAATGTATGTACGGTTTGTACTTGTTTGTGCAAACACTTTGGCTGTATTAGCATTCTGCCCTCGGTGCTAAATGACCCAGCACATAATTACAAACTCTGAAATCCAGATGGCAAACAGAGGAAGCATTAATAATTTCTCTTCTGCAATTGACAGTTGGTACATAGAAGACTGTACAGTAGCTCAACTGATTGGGCAAAAGAAATTACTGTTTGATTAATATACATAGTGAGTCAGCTGTGTGTTGTGAGTGCTATCAAGTGATAAACCTAATGCTAAAGCTAACTAATAAACAGTTAAAACAGCTGGCTGTAGTTAGTTAAAAGTGGTATGGTACAAATGGTAAATGGACTTGTTTTACTACATCACAAAATACTTGTACATGAATAAAATAGTTATCTTAAAGTAATTGATTTAAACTGTTGAAATAGTTTGCTAAAAGTCAAACCAATGACTAAACATCTGAAATAGCTAAAGCTAATGCATAAGCAATAAAGGATAAGTGGTGAAATACCTAAAGGTAATGGATAAATGGTTGAATTATGTATCTAAACTAGTGGAAAAACAGTTTAAATAGTTAGCTAGATTTGAAAAATGATGGAAATATCTAGTCTCTATATAGTCTCAAAATTCTAATGTAGACATCATGTGTCAATGGGGCTCTGGCCTACATTTGACGAAAAGTGTTGGAAGCCAACCAAAGAAAATGGTAACCAAAGGAAGGTAAAATCAGCCATATCAGTACATTCTTGCATTTTCAGCAAAAGCAGACTTAATGGAAAAGAGCAGAGCTTTATAACAGCAAGTCCACACCAGTGCAATGATTTGGGGTTCTGAAGCGTTTACAGTCACACCACACAATTGTGTACCCACTCAGAAAAATGCACAGGCGCTAACAGGCCTTCAATCTGTCACTTGCTAGTAATGAAACAGAAATGCGTGTATCTGAAAAAATAGGCAACATGCAGTGCTGACAGTTAAGTACTTGTAAAGGCAATAAAACACAGCTCTGAAGTATGACAACTGTGCACATCTGAAATAGATCTAAAATAAAAGTGGATATCAAGGAGGTGAGGGGAGTATATTTATGATGGAGTGAGGGTGAATGTGTGTGCAACAAGGAGGCAAGAAAAGTATGTGTGAGAGAGAAACATGTCTGGGCCATAGCAGTTTATTTGGAAGTTGTCATTTTAGCATGACATCTGGGTCCTGTCTGGCACTGGCTCTTACGTTCCCTCCCCTGTTTGTGTGTATCTTTATGTTGTACTCTTGTTCTCTTTTCACACTTCAATCTTGTAAGGACCCAGTTTTCTGTTGTCAGCTCCATGTCACCTGCTCCACGCACAAGTCCTCATCAATGACAAAAGAGGTAATTTGTCGGGCAGTAGTTAGCTCACCACTAGAGCCCGCGTCCCACGTACAAAGGCTGAGTCCTTGCTGAAGCGGCCCGGGTTCGAATCCGACCAGCAGCCGGTTGCTGCATGTCGCCCCATCTCTCTCTCCTACGTTTCCTCAACGTCACAAAATAAAGGCAAAAAATACACAGGTGTTTTCTGATCTGCCACCTTTATGGTGAAGGTTTGGTTAAGATTAGGAAACTGAAACTACTTAAGGTTGGTTTCAAACCAACATTGACTGAAGGTAACCCTGTCTCCTAGAAATAAGTATACAGTACTGTGTACTGTATATACTGCAAAATGTTGATACTGAACGTAAATGTTCACTGACATGTTTTTAATTTGTTTTCCCTTCCCTTTCCCTCTCTAAAACTTGAGTTTATGGCTATATTTAAGGGCTCACAGGGCTTGGTTAGGTCAGGGAAAAATTGTAATTGTCTTGACTTGAAGCATGAGACAGGGCTGTATTGACATTTTAACTGAAACCACAGTTGTTCCTTAAGTGCCTAACTTAAACACATGGGACTCAGGATTATAATATCTGTGTCCACTTTGTATGCTCACACCAAAACCTCTTACTTAAGTTTTGCTTGAGTAATCCATGTACTTCCTTTAACTGACAACACGCTGCCTGTGAACATAATCCAGGTGACAATTACATCCCCCTTCAAAATGTAACAACAAACTAGAAGTATGTATCTTTAATTTCTAGGAGACAAGGTTGCAGGAGGAGGTACACCAGAGATGAGATGTGAACCACGATCTCTGTGTTAAAGTTACCAAGATTTTTAATTTTGCTGCATTATAAAGACACAACAGTACTCCCACCATTGCTCCGGGGAAAGGACAAACATCATCTGCACAATCACAACAGGTCCATGACATGGAAAATGTAAACAGGGTTGCTTTCAGCATTTGAACAAACAACCCATGCTTGTGATTGTCTGATGAGGACAGTCTGTTTCTGCACTACTCATCTGAATCTATTCATATTGTATTTCCTGCATCATTTCCTCCCCTTCCTTCCGTATCTTCCTCCCTTCCACTTTTGATTGTGAATAATAATCACCATGTGTGATCCATCTGTTGTTGGGCAAACATCAAATGAGTGATATCTGCCAAATTCATTTGGCAAGACATCACCTTCAGCTGAGAGGGTGAGCTAGAAGCTGGGAGTGTGCTGAGACTGTCACAGCAGATGCTTTCAGGCAGTCTAGCCTGCACTCATCGTCCTCCCTTCTCTGTCCTCACATTCCCATTCTCGCACATCTGCTCTGTCTGGTCTTCTTCCAGCCTCCTCCTTATATCCTGCCCTTTATCCTCCCCTCTCCATTCCCCTCTGTCCCACCCTCGCCCTACTAAACCCATTAGCTGTGGTACACACACACACACACACTGCTCTGTTATGTAAAGACAGTGGTTTAAACACTGTATAGTCACTGTAGAGGGAGAGCTGTGCCAATAATGTGGTAGCCTCCCTAGAGCAACTATCCTCTGTGTCTAATAGGGTTATAAATAGTCACGATATTACTCCCCTCTTCATACATAAGTAACTTCTGCTATGCAGTCAGCTGAAAAATATCAGCAAGACTTTTGATAGGATCATAGAAAGGGGGGGGGGGGGCAGAAACAGAGGGCAGAGGGGAGGGAGTGGTGGTAAGAGATGTGGTTGAGTCAGGCCAATGTCAGTATAGAAAATTACCCTTTAGGCCGCTGTCCATGCTTCATGGGATAGTCGTTGGCCCATTTTTTTATAATAAATAAATAAAGAATTTTCATTACACCGGCCCCAAAGGTTCGTCAGCTCCCGGGCTTTTTCCCGGTATGCCAGATTACCTGTCTACCCCTGGCCATCACAAGCTATTGGTTGTACCAAAACAAGTAAGGCTGAAGCAGCCAAACCTCAGTGTGAGTTTTATTGCTTATGATGAAGGTGTTATTTATCCAAAGGTTACACTGCCAATCACATTTTTTTGGGTTGATATATGATCTTGCAGGCAGCCATTGGTCTTGATTTTGGCACGCTGAACAACACAAAGAACACTTAACCACTAAATTAATGAAAAACACAAACAAAAGTCACAGACGTTGACTCAAGCAAATCTTAGACCTGTCCCAGTCCAACAAAGTCTTCTTAAGAATTCCTCAAAGTCTTTGTATTTATAAGCAGGGCTATAAAGCTGCATCCCAGATCAGCCAGTATGGTTCTGGCAGTATCCTCTGAATTTAGCAGTGTCGAGCTGTTAAGTAGTTGTTAATGAATGTTGTAATTCAGCATGGGAATGAATACAGATGACATTCTTCCTTGTGTGTTTTATCACTTTTAGCCCACAGTGCAGGTGTGCACAGTAAGCGCCCGCAAAAGCTACAGATATTCAGACCAAGAACCTCATTACTGCAATGCATAATTCTTTTTTTTTTTTTATGTCCTTAATGCTTTTTCAGCAGTCATTAAAATGAATAATAAACAAATAAAGGATGTAGCTCTACTTCTGTTGGTGTGGACTGCATGTGTGTAACACTTCTACCTGCCACCAGATAACTGTTAATCTGAACAAACTGACTTGTTACTGCAACTAAGTGTGGTTAAGTATGTGAAAATGCAAACCATTCGTCTCAGCCATGCTACTACCACCACATTTAGGACATAAAATTGCATCTGTGTAATTTTAAAACACTGACAAGAATTCCCTTTACTCACTCAGTCTTCCTTTTTCTTCTCTTTTCATTCAGAAACCCTGACAAGGGCCTTCAGTTCCTGATCTCTCGAGGCTTCATCCCAGACACACCCATTGGCGTGGCCCACTTCCTGCTACAGAGAAAGGGCCTGAGCAGACAGATGATAGGAGAGTTCCTTGGCAACAGCAAGAAGCCCTTCAACAGAGATGTCCTTGAGTGAGTAGCACACATTATTTCCTGAAATCGCTTTAGGATAATTTACCACTCCTCTTAAGGTGATTCTGCTTGGTAATCCCTCCATTTTCTGGGAGATCAGGGGTCAGGGTCTACAGGAACTACAGGACAGGATTTGATAGCACAAGGAAAATCCTCAGCTTTATCAGTCACAATATTGTGCAAATCATGTTGATACCTGTGCTAACTGTGCACAGGCTTATACATTTTTCAACTTTATCTTGGGTCAGATAATTCCCTGAATCCAAATGTGAAACCTAAATTGTAACTTCAGTATCCGCTTATGTCAAAGTTGTTATTTTTGCAGACACTGGCATTTCATTAGTTTTTTCATCAAAGTAAACTGAAAACAAGCTGAAATTGAAGTGCCATGATCCTACAAATAAGCGCTCATCTAACTCTTCAAATTGTTAATCTAGGTTGACTTGCTAGACAGAATTATAGAAGTTGGATTACAAACTGATAAAACAAAAATAAAAAATAAAAAACTTTCCTGCCCTTTTTGTTTTTCAGCTTCTTTTATCACATTAATATCAAAACCGCAGTTTCTTTTGTATTGGTAGTATTATATCAGACAAGAAGTGAGAAACAAAGAGCAATTTTTGTTGTCTGATAATGTAAATTTTTTTTTGAGATTCCATAACACATCTCAACAGAATAAAGGAGAATTTAGCTCCTGCTCTTGGTAGTTACTGTATCGAATATCTAGGAAAATGTTCTTTAAATCTTTAGTATTGGTTGGCTAACAACATCTCAGCAGATTCTACATATTCGCCTTATCAACTGAAATTCCGACCAGAGTGCTGTAACTGAATCGAGATTTGTGTGTGTTTGTTAAAGGAGTACTCCAGTGTTGTATTTTACTTCCATAAAGTTGTGAGACTTAAAAAATAATGGTCAAAATCAAAACAGCTGATCCAGAGTTTTAGTCCATTGTACAGGGCAAGCTCTAAAAACACTGAATCCTACACATCACATGATGCACCTTAGAAGTGCCATTGGTGTACTACCAGTCTATGTACAAGACAAATACAAGAACTTAAAATAAATAACATATGAATCAATTATAAGTCATGAATTTGCATTTCATGAATGAAAGATGAATTTTCTGGAAATTACTCTTAAAATCCTAAATAAAAATACCATGCATGAGTTTTGTCAGGACGTTGAATTAAATAGCAAATTTATTAGCTTCAAAACTTTTTCATCTTGTTCGTACAGTGTGTTCTTTACAGCAGAATAAATATAAAATACATAAATAAATCAGACAGAAAAAAACTGATGAGCCCAGAGAACAAGGACAGATGCCTCGTTCTAGTATTACTCATCAAATAAATGTGGAAACACACGTATGTGCACACATGACTGACTTCACCCTTTAAGATGCATTCCAGGTCATTAACCTGACTGGCTTTATTTGCTCTGAAACTTTAGAGATCTCCTGCGTTTGTGTATTTCCATCCTTCAACATCTTCCTAACTTTATCTCCTTAATTGCCTTTTTCATTCTGTTACATTCTCCCATTCACCAATTACCTCTAAATCATATCAACTAGAGGAGGTACCGCGGATCTTTCTTTTATCCTCCTTTGCGTACAAGTTATCAAACCAAGAACACACTTTTAGTGGCACGGCCACACATACACGACACAGCACTCTACCAAGTTGTTCACCCCAGGTCTCCCTCATCTAATATCCATATTTTCTCAAATGGACTCTATCATGGTTCCAAATACATTGTATTAACAGGATTATGCTTTTAAGACTTCAAACTCCAATTCACAGTGCATATATAGTCGATGCAGGTGACATTTGGTTATATAGATGTACATTTTCCCTATTTTCCTACAGAGTAGACTTACAGCCATACTCTGAGTGGCAGTGATGTTGAAGAGGAACATGATAGGAGGGTGGAAAGTGTGTGTGAGGGCACTTTCGATAAAGTGTACAAAGTGTAGTCACAGGAGTGCGGGTGAGGGATTGCAGTCTAATTTGAAAATCACTCATGGTGATTTATTGAGCCTGAATGTGTGTGTGTGACTTCTGTGTGTGTATGTATAGGGAGGGTTTGAATGCATGCGTTTCTATATTTGTGTTTTGTTTGTGTTGTCTCCTGTTTTCCTGTCCTCTCCTTAGAAAGCTAATTCGCTTCATTCTGTTCTCATTTCGTCAAGCATAAACAACCATAGTTAAAATGTCCCAAGTCAATTAAGCCAAATTGTGGTTATAGATTTAGGTTCCAAGAAATGTGGCACCCCCGACGACTCATTTACTGATAATGTATTGTGCTTGTTTAGCAGCAAGAATGAGATCTGTTTTCAGCCTGTCATTGGCTGCTCAAAATATGGTTCCATCTGGCCTGCTGTTTCTTTTTATTTGAATTGTGTGAGTGTGTGTGCGTCTGTGTGCGTGTGTATGTGTGGACCTGCCATGACAGCCTTGTAAACATACAGTTTAAGCCTTGCTATGCCGAGAGATGTGTCTATTTCCCTGCCAGGTACTGTATACAGATCAACAAAGCGTATGCATGAGAACAGAATGTGTGCGTGTATACGTGCATGTGTGCTCGTGTGCATGCGTGTGCTATTATTTTTGAGTGTGTATGGGAAAGAAATGGGGGGGAAGTAGAGGGCTGATGTACTTAGGCTAGAGAGCATCTCGTCTGACGTTACATAAACAAGGAGTGACAGCCAGGGAAGAAGGGAGAGAGGGGTGGCGGAGCAAAGAAGTGAGTCATGAAGAGGGCGATCAGAGAGGCTCGACAGTCAAGAGAGTTGATCAGGAGGAGGATCAAGTCACTGTGAACTATAAGCTTTACCTGTGTAAGCATTGTGCAGAAAACTGTCTCACATCACTGGTAGAAAACAACACAGTTAACTGATTATTATTATTGTTATCAAAGTGCCTGTCATGTTATGATTATTAATTGCAGTAGTTGTATTAATGCAGTATTTAGCACCTTGCCTCACAACAACAAGGTCCTGGGAAAGGTGTGTAATCCACTAGTGACTAGAGCCTTGCTTGGGCCTTTCTGTGTGGAGTGTGTGTTTCCTGTGTTAGGTATAGCAGCATCCAGTATTAATAGCAGTAATAGAGAAGGTGGTGTGCCTGTAGCAGTAAAAGATGGAGTAGTAGCAATAATCATAGGGACAGAAGTAGCAGTAGCACTGACAACCACAGAAGCAGTTACAGTATTGTAGTAGTATAACTGTAGAAGTAATGGTAGACATACAGTAGTAGACACAAGACCAGTAGCAGTAGTTTAGTATTAGTTACAGTAGTAGTAATAAATCACATTGTACAAATAGTAGTAGATGTGGTGGTAGTAGTAGTAATTGTAGACATAGTTTAATTAGTAGTAGTAGTAGTAGGTTGTTGCAGTAAAATTCATAACAGCAGTAGCAAGTACTAATAGTAAATAAAAATACATAGGACAAGCAATAGTGGTAGTAATGGTAGTAGTAATAGTGCCTGCACTTGTAGTAACAATATTACAATCAGTAATATTAGACATAGGACAAGTAATAGTAGTATTTTAATATGCATCAGAGTAGGAGTGCTAGGTGTAGTTTTTGTAATATTGTGCTAGGTGCTAAATGAAATAGTATACAGTTCATGGTATTCTTACTATGAGCCAGTTTTGTGGTGATCTCATGTTGTAGTACCGTGGCGCCATGCAGGCAGTACTGTAGACTCAGCTATCTGACTCCTTTCTGCTGGAGCAGCATGTGTCACAGTCAAGTTACTCACCTCATTAACTTGCTTTGTTCACAGTAATCCATCTTCATGTAGTGTGTGTGTGTGTGTGTGTGTACGTACATGTACGCCAGTGTTTCCTATAGTACAACAAACAGAGAAGATCAGAAGCAGAAGGCGATGTCTTGACGCCACTATCTATCTTTCTTTTGAACATGCTGTCCGTGACCATCAGTAGGTCGTCAACAGGTGTGGATAGATTTGGTGTAAATCTCATAAAAAAAAAAAATCTGAGTGTTAAAAAAAAAATTTAATTTTGTAGTTCGATTATCATTCCACTTTGTACCTCAGCAGGACATCTCACATCAAATCGAGGAAAGCTTTAAAACCTCACAACTCTTTAACAAAAACATCTTTCACCTCCAAAATCACCCACGTTGTATTTATCCCCCCTGAACTCATTTGGATAGGATATTTTGCTTTTTTAATTAAAGTCATTAAACTGGGGTTGTCAGGTAATAGGAGGATTTTCTGCTCGGAGGGATTGTATGCATGTACGTGTGCGTGTGTCTCTTGGCAGCTGTGGTACAGAGGAGATAGCTGGGCCCAGACTTATCCCTGGTGTCCATGCATGGCTAATACCTGCAGTAAGCAGAGTGGTGCTGTGAGCGGGTAGCAGATGAGTTGACTTCTACATCCTTTATCTTGGTTGTACAGCCACAGATCCACCCAGGCCATCAGTGAAGGGCTCATGTTGATATATACATTTTGCTATAATTTAATAAATTTTCTTTTTTTTCCTGTGTCTTTCTTTCCCCCGCTTTTGCTCTTTCCATATCTCATCCCTTCCCTACTGTGCTTAACAGTTGCGTGGTGGATGAGATGGACTTCTCAGGCATGGAGCTGGATGAAGCACTGAGGAAGTTTCAGGCCCACATTCGTGTCCAGGGAGAAGCCCAAAAGGTGGAACGTCTTATCGAGGCCTTCAGGTAATTGTAAAAGCGGTAGTTGCTGTGACTGTCTGGGTTTATTTTGCAATATTCTCGCTGGTATTAGAAGGGGAGCACCGTTTGGGTATGATTTTCATATACTCAGCTTTAACCATCTAGGTATATCAAGGTTTGGATTTCATTATATACTTATTACGTGCATAAAGCAAGCAATATTCATACATGTAAGAGTTAGGGTGGGTGTTTTTAACTACAAAACCAAAAATACAAGAACGAAAGTGTAGGGAAAGGATCCGTTTGTCTGCTCTAACGTAAGCTGTAAACATTTGCATTTCTAGTTAACTTTCTTACTAACTATTGTAACTACAGCTACCCTGCTTTACTTCCATGGCCAAGAAGCATTTCTACTACATTATTTTGTGGGGTGACTAGGTCACAGTAAAAAAGCCCCATTCATGACTAGCATATCTGTAGTAATTTCCTATTCTATGACAGTTTATTCTGTATGTTTGCCAAAGCTGGCGGCTCTTTCTTGCTCACAAATTTGCAAATCCTTCTATGGCCTCTGATTGGCTCAGCCTGACATTTACGTTTCTCATGGAGCTCAAGCTGAAAGAACAGGAAGTTTTTGCTGTTCTTCTGTCTTCACCAAATTAGCTTGAAATTGTTAAGCCATAAATATTTAATCTAAATGCAGTCTAGTCTTTGTCTTCCTATGTCTGAAATCAAGGGCCCATGTTTCAGAGTGGTAAAACTGTTGTTTTAAACTACATATAGGATGTGCCGTGTGAGAACAGAAAGTTTGAGTCGTTACTGAACAGACATGCAAGAACCAGATATTTGTCCATGCACGACAAATGTATTAATATTCAGAAACGCTGCACGGAGAGAATTGTTGCTTTGAAGGAGTTGGATATGAATATTTATCATCTTTTAGTTTATGGAAAATATCCCTCATTTGTCCTACTGGTGTCATTTATTTTCTACTGTAATTTAAATCTGAGTGTGTTGATATTTGAGTGGGTGAGTGGGTAAAAGGCGAAATGAAATACTGTCACTTAAGAATTACCTCTTGGCCAAACATGTCATGCGGTGCTTTAAGATGCAATTCACAGGATTTTTTTATCAAGAAATATAAACTTCTAAAGGTGTGCTGAAAGGCACAAATGTGAATTTGTGATTTTGTTTTTGTGAGATGTCAGTTCATGCATCTGTCTTTTCACCGTACAGCTATGCCAGACAAATACACAAAGAGGAAACATGAAAACAAGCTAGTATGAGAAAATTAACTAGATAAAATTGACATCCATGTGCAGAATAGGATTAGGGCCACATGTGAAATTTTTTTTTGAGTTCTGACTTTAAACTCAGAATTCTGACTTAAATCTCAGAACTCCAAAAAAAATTCATACGTGGCCCTAATCCTATTCCTCATCCTTGCACACATAAAGGGACATGAAACCAAAAAAACAAACAAATATATAATGGAACATAGTCTGACCACATATGTGAACATAAATATTTGATAACACATGGATGATCTCAGCAGTCGAGTCACACTGCCTCACCATGCACACACTTTGGTCTTTTCTTTCTGCTCAGCTACAATAAAATGTTGACAATGCGGCCCCCATTTCAATAGCCAGGCATGTAATTTCTGGCCACAATTTGCAGTGCAGCTGTAGCCCTGTGTGTTAATGCTAACTGTTTGCCGTAGCCCCTCTGGAGTAACAACCACCTGTCACAGTTGTCGAGGTGCCCAATGAGGAGAAAAAACAGTGGCATTGTCATAGACAGTGGGCAGAGAGGTTGGCACTGGTAATGTTTGGACATAAGGCTGGCTCTGCGTGTTATCAGGAGCAAGAGAGAGGGAGATAGCGAGGGGGGTAAAGAGACACGAACTGGGAAAAAGAAGGAAGGGTAGAAAAGGAGAGAGGGAGAAGGTTTATAAATAACCAGTGTTGCGTAACTGCCACAGCCTCTCTGTGCCTGCCTCCCCTGCTCCTGGGCTTTGATATGCCTCCAAACACACACACACTCACACACTCAGAAAGAGAGAAATCTCCGAAGTAAGTGAAGGGGATTTGAAGCAGCAGTGAAAAAGAGCGAGGGGAAAAGTGAAAAGCAGCCAGCAAACTCAGTATCTGCTGCGTCAGTGTGCTAATGAATGAGCAAATATGAGCCAGCTCCCAATGCCGCAGATTTATATTTTCATGTCGACATTACAGTGTAGTATCCAGACATCCTTATTTACTCACCCCACAGTCACATACAGTTGCTGTATTTTCTATAATGGTTATTATAGATAACGATCATGCAACTTGTATAATCTTGCACCAAAAACCATCCTCACAGAGTACATAATGACTATTGGATTACACCATGTTTAGCAATCTGTAACAAAAAGAAGATTGGTTTGGAAGACAGCAGCAAATGCCAAATGTGAAGGCTGCCAAATTCATTTCAGTGAGCAGCATTGTGTGCCGTTTCACCCTCTCGTTTAGTAAGAGCACACTTAGATAGGAAGCCGCATACACTGAGTTTTTTCACTGCATGGTGCAACAGTACATTAGGATTTACTGACAAGGGCATAATGACGGGTTGCTGTGGAGTCACGGTTTTCAGACACTTAGATGTGAATAAGCATCTGTGTGGACCCCTCTGATTATCATCATGCTAAAACAAATACTGCATGATGACAAACACACATGAAAGCACTGCTGCTTAACCTACAGACACAAGTGGGGGGAGACAGTGAAGTGAGAAGTTCTTTACCAAAAGCAAATAATATAAATGTTCCTCAATTATAAACATGTATATCATCTATCAAATAATAAGTTATCTTGATTTCCATAATTTGAGTATACCAAAAACAGCCACCTAACTATCTAACCCAGTAGCAACCTATAATTCTCCTAAAGACACCTCATACTACAGTTGATAAATATTATTGTTGACTGTATAAATATAAATTAAGTTACCTTGGTAATTTAGGTTTAGGAGCAGGGTCACGCCTCAACCACACCTGTCAAGCCTATACCTTGTCTGCTCAGTTTGTTTCAGATAGCTTGACCCATTCTCCCTTTACCTTCATCCATGTAAATGTAAATGCTCTGTATTTGTATAGCACCTTTCTAGTCTTTGCGACTACTCAAAGTGCTTTTACACTACATTGCATTCACCATTCACACACATTCATATGCTGAGCCTAATTGCTCAAACAGAAAATAACATTGGACACTTCGACATGCCCCCTCCCCTAAAATAAGCTCAGATGAAAACACTACCGAGACCCCTACACTGAGTCTCCTCCCGTCCGGTCTTCCTACATCTTCCCAGACCAGCATATCAGACATCCATCACCTTCCCCTTTGACATCCAATCATCCGTCCTCAATCATCTAGACATTTTGAATTTCCATTAAACCTTTAAATGACATATTAAGATAAGATAAGATAAAACTTTATTATCTATTTCTGGAAATATGTCTTTGGCTTCACCGGGTTCATTAAAAACCATATCAAATACACATAAAACAGGACACATACAACCAATTCATTTGAACACAGAACCCAATACGAGCTTCAAGTAGACCAGTTATCAAAATACAGATAAAAAGTTAATCAGGACCTTTAAACACAATAAATAAGGTTGTATTTGTAATACAAAGACCACTCTGTTTCCTATCTTTGATTATTTGATTAATTAAACATCTAAGTCTTTTTTTTTTTACCAGAAAACACATAGCAGTTGAGGGACTTTTTTCAGCACTGAGTAGTGTAGTGCCATCTTAGTCCAGAAAGTGCATACAGCCCTAACAACCTCCAGCAGGTAGGGCAGCTTGTACGCTGCCTGGGAGGCAAAATCCAAGGAAAAAAATCGAATCATTCTTTCTGCTTGTAAAGCTTAAATGCAGCCAGCCCACTGTAATAACTGAAGGCGATTTAGATGAGACTGACATAAATGAAAACAGGCAAACATGCACAAACCCCAGGATATTTTTTTATTTTGATAATCTTGGAAGTCTTAAGCAGTGTTGGAAAGCACAATAAAAACTGTGTGTGACAAGGTAATAACCTACTGTATGCACACCAATGTGTGTGTCTTTGCGCAATCCCACAGAGACATTAGATTCCAATCATGCAGCTCAGCAGGTTTGCAAAACAGCGCTACAGCCCCAATGTGGAAATGATGACTGATTAAACTAACGATTATAGTATACACTCCAACACAGCCCACAGGGTCCACACACACACACACACTCACACACACCTTCTCATTCTCCTTTTGCTCTGTATACTACTGTTTAACTCTGTACTGATGTTTAACTATTGTATTGTTCATTCCCTAACCAGGAAATATCCATGCACCTCACAGAGAAACGGTGTAACTCTCTCCTCAAGGCACGTCTTTCTTAAAACACAAAAACACACACACACACACACACACACACGCATATATACAAACACCCAAAGTAGGTGTCTACAAATCTTTTAGATTTATGGTTTCCATATCCACACGACGCAGAGGCGCTTCCATTCCCCACCTCTTATAGTTAAGGGTGTTTGTTTGGGAACTATTTCAAACCGAACCTGGCCTCTGTCGCGTTCTTTTGCATAGAAGTGCCAAGGTAAGGGATTTCATATTTCAAACGTCATATTTCTTCTCTGCAGCACAAAAACAACCTGCATAAATCCAGCAACCTGGCCCATAAATGTAGGAGAATGTTTAACTATGGCTGAGGGCTCAGCGGACTCGCCCAAGATAAAGTCAAACACATACACATATACGCGCCCTTAGTTTTTCTGCGTATTGCATGGCCCATGTGACTATCCAATCCAGTGGGACAAATTTGTTTATACAGAGACAGTTTCAGCAGAGCACCCACTGTGAGGTTCATTGCTGCTGAGGGGCAGCAAACAGCTTCAGAGGAAGCCACAAGCAAAATTAAAGCCATAACTCTTATCTGGGAGCGACACTATCATGCTCAGCTTGCTCAAGGCATTCATGAGCATGTAGTGTGTATAAGGATGCCTTTGTTGTCCAAGGATAACCTATTCATCTCTCACTGTGTATTTATCATCCTCTCTAACTGGCCTCACCTATTCTTTTTTAAATCCTATCTTCCCCTTTCTGCCTCTCTGTCATTCCTCCACATTTGCGTCCTCTGTCATGATCTATTACCACACACATTCATCCCTCTCCTTTCCACCTTCTTTCCTTTGCCTAATACACCATCCTTTCTTGCAAAAATTTTTTTGCTGTTTCTTTTTCTTCTACCTCTTCTTCTTTTGTCTTCTTTACAGTCAGCGCTACTGCATGTGTAACCCCGATGTAGTGCAGCAGTTTCACAACCCAGACACAATCTTCATCCTGGCCTTTGCAATCATTCTGCTCAACACTGACATGTACAGTCCCAACATCAAGCCTGACCGCAAGATGTTACTGGAGGACTTCATACGCAATCTAAGAGGTAAGTGACGCTGCGTCATGGTTGCTTCTAGAAGTGCGGGCACATTAAGGGAGTTAAAGTCACATTAATTAATTTACACAAGTCGCTCTAGTAATGTAGGTTTCTTTTTAGGTATGTATATGTGCATGTGTGTCACATGACAAGGTTTTCTGAGGAGTATGAGCTGGTTGGTTTGCCAAAATCTAGGGCTGAAACGATTCATCAATTAAATCGATTAAATCGATTACTAAAATTCTTTGCATTGATGCTTCGTTTAATCCATAGAACTATATAGCAAACTGCTTCACACAGACTTTTATTACTGTTGCACATCACGCTTATGCTGTGAACACGAGGTGATTTTGATGCCGCTGTTGGCAAAGTGGAGGAAGAAAGAAAATAGCGAGGGACAAAGAAGAAAGTGTCCAAATTATGGGATTATTTCAAGCTAAAAGAAAACAACAACTCTGTAATGTTGTAATTGCTATCTTTATAATAACAAACAACAGCTGTTTTGTGTGCAGGATCGTTCATTTCCCGTTTCACATTTCCCGTGTGTTTTCTTGACAAAATGTGGTTTGGAGACCAGCGTCGGGGGACACAGCCGCTGTCAGCTCGTGTAGTGTGTGTGTGTCACTGTCACCGATCAGTCATGTAGTGTGAACGTCACAGCGACTTCAAGACTCCCGTCACAAGATGGCAAGTTGTGTAGTTGAACAGCACGGCCATCGGCCAACGCTGAAAGTCTTGTAGTCTGCACAAGCCTTTAGTATAACTTGTATAGCACTCGGGTGATGTTTGTGTTTGTAAAGCAGCTGTCTGGTTGTTGGTCTCTTGATGTGATTTTTGCTGTATGACACACTATGAATTTCCGAAAGGACCAATAAATCACCTTTAAACGTGCACAGCTGTCCCGTTACCGGGGGGGCGCCGCTGCCGCAAAGCAAAAGTACTTCTTAAATGACGCATCGATGAATCTTTGAAATAATCTATAGAAGCTTCAAATACTAAAATCATCGTTAGCTGCAGCCATACCAAGATCATACTCATAGTTTGCTGGCTCAGAAAGCATTAATTAGCACTAAACACAAAGTACAACTGAGAAGGAAGAGAATGGTAATCTTTTTTGCAGTATTGTTCTGCAAGTATTCGACAAATACAAATTTTGGATAAAAAGTCAAAGGATCAGAAAAATCATTATATTTATTCCTGTGGGGGACATTAATATCTGAGGCCATTTTCTTGACAATCCATCCAGTTGTTGTCAGGCCATGTCTCTAAAAACAGCTAGTAAAACTTAGTAGGCTTCTTCCTTTGGGGACTATGAATGTCTGTACACAAACCCATGGCAGCCAATCTAATATTTAGTCTGGACCAATGAGGTGGAGCAAAAAAAATATGTCAACAAATATATTTCACCCCCTAGGGTATTGATTTATTTATGGCACCTGAAAACCATCAAAACTGGAATAAGTCCCCACAGACAGGGAGAAAACTGAAAGAACCAAAGAAAGATCCCATAATTATAGTATTTGGTTTTCAATTTCAATGTACTCTATGGCACAATATGGCAAAGTGCTCACCAGGAGCTGCTCCAGATGTTAGAGAAATTATTTAGTGTGTTTCCCAATAGTTTGAATTTCACTACAATGAGACGAGAAAATGTATAATAAGAAATCAGTAATACTCAATAATCCTCCACATATATTTCCTAAATAACTCATGTCGAGGGCTTTGAACAAGGCATTAAAGCCCACAGATGAATCAGAGAAAGTGAGTCAGTATCCAGCAGTGTTTGGATCTGCAATTCAATCAAACCGCGCTGCATAAATTTAGGTGAAATAAATAAGGTTACATTTCTATCCCTGCCCGCCTTGCTTTACACATTCACAACTCATAGCAACATCGACAGAAAGCACCCGGTAATTCTTGTCTCCCATATGAACACAGATACTCATTCGCCAAGTGTAGGGGATGAGACAGGCGTGCCGTAGTTTTCCTCTCCCTCGGTGCAATCAATCAGGGAATGCTGAGGTCGATGCAGAACAACTACAATAGATTCATCCAGTAATGTTCCCCACAATTAAATTAAGTTGGCGAATCAATTTCAGCATCTTATGCAAATTAAAATATGCCACTCTCTTGGCCTCTCTATTTGTCTTCTGCTCAGTTTACTATGTTTTCTCTGTCTACTTCCATTCTCTTATCTTGTTTTGTCTCAGAATATTTGGTCTTTGTTATATTATCTCTGTTTCGCCCCTTTTTTCTCCCAAGTCATGTCTCTCATACACACTGACAGAAAAATAGCTCACTCAACTAATTGGCTGAGGTGAAATGCAATTATGTACCAGAAACCAAAAGTAATGAAGATACATAGAACATTCATTATCTCAGTTAAAACAGACTGTCTGTGTCAAAGTTATTCCACAATGGGACAACATAATATAAAACAGCTTCCACCATAAATTAATCCAGTAGGCTACGGTCAGCTCATTATAAAATGAAAATTGGAGTCTCTCATTTACTGAATACTTTAGCTTTACCCATGTTTCCCGTGGAGCTTAAGCGATGCCTCTTCTATTTCCCTGTCTCTGGCTTTCACATGACATATTAGAGAACAATAACCCCCCAAAAGTTAACTCTCTGCAAATCTGAGACCACCATCTCTAAAAACAGAGCCTCCAGCCATGCTAGCAGCTCTATGGACTGTACCTGAGCGCTTCAATGCCATGAGCTAAATGCTAACGTCAGCATGCTAACATCACAATAATAAGCAACATGCTAGCATGTTGATGTTAAGCAGGAAAAATATTTTCCATGTTCACCATCGTAGTTTAGCTTTTGCTAATTAGCACTAAACACAACGAACAGTCGATGCTGATGGGAATGTCATTTGTTTTTGACCTGATGATGGCTCTATGTGAAAAGTTAGCGGAATAGTTGTCTGGACATTCTACTAGAAGCTAAAAATGTCATCCTGATGGCGGCACTAGAGGTTAAGTCAGGGGATCATTCAGTGTGATTTATTCTATGAGGATCATAAATGTCTGTAGAGACCTCCACATCAATCCATTTAATAGTTGTTGATTTCAGTCTGGTGGGCAAATCAATCAACTGTGGTGGACAAATCACTTAACCATGATGGCCATGCAAAGCACCATGCCACTAACAATAAAGCAGGAAATCGTAAGGAGGGTAAGGAAAGTGGGAGAACTGGCAGAAAAAAAGAGACATTCAGCAAAAAGATTTAGCTTATTAATCTGACACACTACACACATTTCCCCCTGGACATCTCCTCTCCCTCTGACTCCATAATGTGCAGCGATGTCTCAGCAGTGTCCCAGGGTGCCTCACTGTCAACGCCATCACTTGTGGCGGCTTCATTTTCCCCAAACACATCCTGCCCCATTGAAAACTCAATGTACCACACAGCGCGATACAGCTGTGCAGATATAACAGGGAGTATCTGGAGGGTACCTTTCAGCCTAATGACATGCAGCTCTACCTGCGTCGAAATGCCACGGCCTTGAACTGCACTGTGTTCCATCACGGAATATCTCAGAGTGACTGAGGCAGGGTGTTAACCTTTCACTTGCCAATTAACCTCCTCTCACCTTGCCTTCTGTCATTACTTAATGGAGATAATGAAAGACAAAAAAGTCAAAGAAGGACAGACTAGAAGATTGAGAGAAAGAGCTCTCTTTTTGCTCCAAATATTGAATTCCACTGCATTGCATTTCAAGTAATGAGGCAAAACAAAAGTGTGTCAGTGCAATATGCATACAGTCATATGTTGCATATGCTTGTGTATCCATCTCCTTCTGTTGCTGTGACACATACACTGCCGCATTTAAGCCAGAATAGACAGACTATTCTTAAGGACAGGACTGTCTGCGAAAACTAAAAGCAACCAACCTGTGATGTGTGCATACTTGTGTGTAATCAACCTATTCCTATTATAGGTGTGGATGATGGAGCAGACATCCCCAGAGACATGGTGGTGGGAATCTATGAAAGAATACAGCAGAGGGAGTTACGCTCCAACGAAGACCACGTCACCTACGTCTCCAAAGTTGAACAGTCCATTGTCGGCATGAAAACGGCAAGGACACACAGATGCACTTTTGCTCTATACTTGTCAGGACCTGCACTGATATAATGCATCCATTAGCCCTTACCCTCAGCCACATAGCAAACCTTGACCTTTAACCTAAACCGTATTAACCTTTAGCTTGCATTAGTTGATGTTTTTGGCTACTTTGGCCAGGACAATCATTGTCATCAACAGTGACATACTGTAGCATATGATTGCAGACAGTTGCTTATTTACACATCCAACAGACAAGGAGCAACATTATCAATTATTTGGAGTAATTTGTAGCCACCTGGCCAATGTATGTCCGATATTCACTCTGCAGCTACAGTCCACTTAGTTTCTTAAGACCCTTTTTGCTGAAAAAGCTACTTTTTGTAGATACAATGAGAAACACAGATAAGACATTACAGTACATTAGAGTACCCACACACACAGAAGTAACATAAAGTGATTCCCAGATGGGGTTGAGTTGATGGTACAGCACTTGTTTTCCTTATTAGACACTGTAGAACCTTCACCAGTTGTTTGATGTGGATATAAAATACTGAATCACTTTCCATCACAGAGTTACAAACAATTTTTGTTTAGTGGTCCAGTGTCCCTGCCTCTATTTTTCACAACACTTCTCCTTATAGTCATGTTGGCTTGCTAGAATAGTAGAAGGTCAGGGTAATCACACAAAAACATGAATTTGATTGCACACACACATTCTCTGCCAACTCCATGCTAAGTCACTCACTCACATTATTCAATTTTATTTATATAGCGCCATATCATTCATAACAGAAGTTATCTTATAACACTTTTCACCAGTAGTCTTTTTAATAGTTTTTACAAGCGCTTGGCGACAGTGACAAGCAAAAAACAGGGTTTCAACAGGCAGAAACCTAACTATAAAATGAAAGTCTTAAGTCTACTTTTAAATGTGGAGATGGTTTCTGCCTCCCTAACCCAAACTGGGAGCTGAATTCACAAGAGATGAACTTGATAGCTGAGTGCTCTGGCTCCCATTCTCCTTTTGGAGACTCTAGGAGCCACAAGTAACTCTGCATTCTGGGAGAACAGTGTTTTAGTGGCGTTCTACGAGCTCTCTCAAGGCCTTACACTATCAACTAGCCTTGGTAGCACATTTATTAGCCATTAAATGTCTCATTAGCAGCGCGATCATTACCTCAGATCATTACACCAGCAAAATACATGGGGTGGTGATGGCGCAAAGGATAAGACTATGACTTTGGTATCAGAGACCCAGGTTCAATCCCCCACTGTGACCCATCCACCATTGTGTTCCTGAGTAAGACACTGTGCAACCTCTGAAATGTATAACAATTGGAAGTCGCTTTGGATAAAAGCATCAGCTGAATGAATGCTTATCAACAACTGCTGTCATTGGAGTCTTGTTTTTCACTGTTTAGGGCGAAAAGGCTTGGTTAGTAGCATAATGTAAGTGGTTGAACCTAACATTGGAAATGTTTTAGTTAAGTCAAGTTGAGAGTTTAAAATGCCCACACATTGACATGTGGCTATTGTTTTCATTCACTGTGTGTATATTCTTTTCGAAAGTTTTATGTGTTTGAGATTTTACAAGTCTGAGACAGTCACAGATCGAGGCAAACTTATTTAGCTTTGTAATTGACTGATTACACTGATTCATGTGGGAATATGCTGTGTGTGCCCACTCATAACACGGAAAGGCAGTTTAAAAAATACTTCAACAGTTCAGAGAATTCAGTTTGAATCTTATCTGTACACCAGGGCCTCCTTTATTCATGAAATATGTATAAAAGTTTTTCCCATGGACTCCACGCATTGCATCCACATACAAATATATACATATTCTTTCAAAATTGTATTCAGGTACATGCAGAATAATTGAAACTGAATTCTAGAGCTAACATCAAAAGTGGTTTCACGTTTTTAGTCATGCTAGCAGCATGGATCTATGGATGGCAATGTTAGTCTGTTGGCCAGTTCAGGTCAGTCTATCTTTAGACTTTTGTCTCATACTGCCTTCTGTCTATCCAGAATATGAACCAATATGTTTGGATGCATTTTATCGTAAATATTTTTTTTAATTAGTTTTACATTTAATGTGCGTTATATCCTGTTAACTTTCAGAATGACATTGGATCTCTGACATTGAAAGAATAGCCGCTGTGTTGGGCTTTGTTTTGGGGTGGGGGGGAGGGGGGTTGTGCCTTTAAGTGAGACGATGAGAAGCCATAGGGTGACAGAGTGTTGTCATAGCCAAAACAATGATGGATTGTTGTGACAGGAAGTGACTATTCCTGCCCATGGGCTCAGTTCATCCATAAAAAGAAAGAGACTTAGATAAGGTTTCCTTCTTAGAAATACTAAAATACAATCACAGCTCGTGTCAAAGTCCCTGTATTGTGGATTTAAAACTTCTTATCTATTATGCTAAGAGCTAGTAGCCTACATGAAGATTATTTTAATATAATTGGTTTCTCCATAATAGGAGTTTGCTTGGTGTAAATATTTGATGACTTGATAAAAGCCATAACAACTCTTCTTGAAGGTGATGAAGTAACTTTACATCCAAATGTTTTCCTCCACAAACACTTTTAAAATGTCCTTAAATAGTTCATTTGAATAACATTTGTAGACTCAGTTTTTCTACAATACAATTAAGTCAGATCCTACAATTGATTTGTTAATTGTATGATTAAACTCTCTCCTGTCACAATGTTTCTTAATAATCCTGTCAGCTAATGATGTCGTTACATGTTTCTGACATTAGTGTTATGAGAAAGCAACCTGGTTCTGGACAGCTGGGTCGGGGGGGGTGTATACCCTGCAGTGATGAGAGATGAGAGAGCAGGAGACAAAGTGAATGTGTTTACTCACTGCATGGCAAATAGTCCACTGAGAGCACTGGGAATCCAAATTGGAAATGCACAGAGAAATAACCGAACAGAGGTCATGAATATTTTTATTTTATCATGAACAGGGAATCAACTGAGCATCAACTGACAGTCACTCAGCTTCTGTTTGAATTGCAGTGATCCAACATGGAAAGCTGGACGAGACAAGTCAGAGAGACAAGAGTGAGAGGGGGCGAGAATATGATTAGATCAGTCTCCAAAAAGATGAGCCATTTTTGCAGAGTAATCTGCTTAAACAGAGAAAAGCACTTAAATCCAAGAGGAGAAGCCAGGCCTCTATGGACAAAACTGCGTTTTGTAGAAGAAAAAAAACAGACATTTACTGTACATTACACCTCCAAGTGTACCGTTACCACGTTTTCTTATTCCGTCCGGTGGACTAACATGGAAACAAATGAAAAAAATGTAGGCAGTGGCAACTTTTTGATCCTGTTTGAATTGTACTCTGAATTGCACATATGTTTGTCAATTTAAAATATACATTTGAAAGTTTGCTTTGAAAATACGTATATACAAATACCACAAACCCAAAAGTCGCGTATGTGACGTTGTAACTTTTTTTATCAATGACTGAAGCTAACGTTTCTGAAGCTAACATCAAAGAACTTACATGAGAAGATAATGTGATAAAAGGACCAAGAGTTGCTGTAATAAACACATCAGGCGAGATACATTTCTGCATGGAACATAGCTAAGTTACCTTGCTAATAGCAAAGAAACAATGAACGTTAGCTAGCATTACCGCGTTTCAGCATTTGTTGGTGATGTATATTGTGTAAGACAAAAGATGTAGTTCACTGAACAGTTTTCACACTAAAGTAAACGTTACTTTTCTGTTTTACAACAAAATGCGACTTTCTTGACGGACAAAAATATCTTTTATATTGACAAACATGTGTAATTGGGGGCACAATTCAATATATAAAAAAATAAGTTGTCTCACGCCGTTGACAACCATACATATATTTTCTGAAATAAGGTGAAATCGGGCGGAAGGAGGGACTTAGGCACTCTATTGCAAAAAACAAAGCAGATAATGTTGCTGCTAAGTTTTATGATTTAGGGGACTACTAGCTTTACTAGAAGCAGGTATTGCAAGCTTAACTAAACCTATAATGGCACTGGTTACATACACTATAGCTTAGAATCCAAGTGATATGATTAAAACAAAACAAAACACAACCGGAAAAGCGGTTGAAGATGGATGGATTAAACATTCAATGGTCAATACCTCCCAAAATGGGTACAGGCAATATTGACATGTCAAAGCCGAACCCATAGAAATAAAATCTACAATTAAAATACTATAGATTAATAATACAGTACAGTTAAATAGTCTGGTGGGGCTGGGATACTGCAGACGCAAACTGCTCAAAGAATAGGGATAAGACTAAAAACCTAGGAAGATAAAAAAAAAAATACAAGGCTCTCCTCGTATCCTCCCTTCATTGCATTTTAATTTATCTCTCTATCCCCTTTGTCCGGAGAAACAAAATGCCTTTAACTACTATCAACTACAATAAATATGAATTTGCATTATTATTAGGAGCAAAACAATTACTTACACTCACACATGATGTAGTGCAACTAAATGTAACGGACAGATTTTAGGTATTTCTCTTCATAAATGTACTTTTGTTCACATTCTAAAATTTAACTTTTTGCCTGCTCACATCTCATTATTTAATAAAAACAGTGAAAAGAGCAACCCCCAAAGTGCAGCACAGCCAAGAATCCTAAACCGGCATTTGTGCCCTCGTTCTTCTCACACTCACAGTTAATATTAGGATAACCTTGCAACACGCAGTCTTATCTGTTACTCTAATTAATGTTTTAAGATATCTTTTAAGATTGTTAGGTCAGCCTGCATGACACTAATTAGTCTCAGTATACTGTGTATAATGTTTTATACTTGCATCTCAGCTTTTAACCCCAGTGAATAATGTGTCCTACTCGAAGCCAAAGTCATTTGTATTAAAACTCTCACTATTTCACTTCAGTACTTTTTCTGCAGGCTTTTCTTCATCTCTTCTGTACCTTCATACGGTCTTTTGAATCATTTAAAACCTCTCAGTCACTTTATCTTGAGTTATTGAAGCTCTCCTCTTCTTTGCAGGTTCTCTCTGTACCTCACAGAAGACTGGTGTGCTGTAGTCGACTTTTTGAGGTGACTGATGTCAACAAAGCCCAAAAACAGGCAGCTCACCAGAGAGAAGTCTTCCTCTTCAATGATCTCATTGTGGTAAATATACAAAAAAAAGAAAGAATTGTAATGAGAGGTTTGTCATTAGCATGTTGTATACATGTTTACAGTTTCCTTTAAACCATTCTTAACAAAATGGCTGTTTCTGCTACACGTAGTCGAGCTTTAAAGCTGCTTACTTTTTTGTGACAGCTGCAATGCACCATCACCTACTTCGAATGTAAGCTCCCTCTCTTTTATGTTGTTTCATAACTCAGGACTCTCCGGCCATTTCTTTTAATAATAGATAGTAGCAAAGGCAGTGCGCTCATAAGCAATGATCTGTCCCTGACAGAGCAGCTTTAAGGGCCAGTGAAGTTGTTTTTTAGTCAGGCCATCAAACAGTTGTTCATTTGCTCCAAAGTCATGTAAATTGGAGAATTATCAAAGGTTTAATGTCACGCATAATTAATGTGCTCATTAGCAGTCACATCTATCCAAAGTGGTTAACTACTCTCATAATTATGATAAATTGTTGATCTCAAGCCAATAAAATACAGCAAAAGAAAAAGCAGGATGCCCCCCCCCACACACACACACCAACCACCACCACCTTTCTTTTCTGCTAAAACATAAAAGTAATTGGTAGCTGAAGGAAAAGAAGGTTAAATGGTGAAATAAGTGTATCTTCTAATGTCACAGTGGAATTCTGTTCGCTTGCCACTAAAAGTTAGTGGTGCAGTATATATTCCAGTGAGACATTTTCTCCTGACAGCTTTAAAAGCGGGGCAGAAATTGTCTTTGAAAAATTTTAGTACAGAATTAAAATGATGGGGACTTTTCTTTGAATTTGGCCCCTGTTCTGGCAGCTTGAACATGTCAAGAAGTGTTTTAAGTGTCAATGTGATGTATTGGTTTAATACGGCTCGCCTGGTAAATTATGCTCCACAGTAGTGCTGCAAAACAGGTTCGCCTCATCGTACTCTATCTGGAAGGTCATTCAATGAAAAACCATAACATCTCTAATACATCCTAATATAAGCTTGCCAAGGTGTTTTTCATACAAATTAGAGCACTGGCGCACAATCTGAAACACTCTGAAGGTTGTAGTGTACATTAATATTGACTATCTGCTCTTTAAATGTATTTTAAATGATTAAATAGTTTGTTCTCTCCGAGCTTCTTTGAGGTTGTTCTGTGATATGGAAATCTCAGTGACAATCAAAAAGATTTCAGAAGTGCTTAGAACGCTGCAAAAACTTTAATGGGCTCTCCTGTCGTTCAAAATGGTTACAGTGTCTCTGGTTTTCTCGTTGTCTGTAGATCTTGAAGCTTTGTCCAAAGAAGAAGAGTTCTGCAGCCTACACTTTCTGCAAAGCTATGGGCCTACTTGGCATGCAGTTTCACCTGTTTGAAAATGAATGTAAGTCAAAATGTTTTTGTTGCAGACAGCTGGCATGAAAAACATAAAACACCCAATGCCCTGGACCTTTAGAAAGCAGTGGAAAGTACACCCAAGTTGAAGTGAGCAAGGGGTGTAGAAGATATTGCCATATTTGAAAGAACAAAAACGAGTTTACAAACCTACATTGAGGAATTTTGATGGCATTTTCACACCTGTGGTATTACACTCACTAACATCTTGCAAACAGTTCTTGCCATTTCTCCTTATTCTTTTGTTTGAACAACTCAATGTCTTCCTCAGACTACCCTCACGGCATCACCATCCTCTCACCTTTTGGCTCAGACAAGAAGCAGGTACTTAACTTCTGTGCCCAAAGTGCTGAGGAGCTTCTCAAGTTTCTAGAAGACCTAAAGGAATCAATCGCCGAGGTGTCGGAGATGGAGCAGATACGCATCGAGTGTAAGTATCTGCCCATATATGTTTTTTCCCTTCATAGTACAATGAAAGACTGTTCGCAACATTGCCCTTATCATCATCTGTTTGTACCATTGTCCTCTAGGACCTTCAATACATAATCAGTGTAATCTTTAATAAAACACATCTATGTAAAGAACAAACTGATTCTGTGACTGGATGCTTCCAAATACAGTGGTGAAATTATGGCTATATGTGGTATAAAGAAGGCCAAAAGAATTTGCAAATAGTTGTCATTAATTATTGTAACTGCTCTGGTTGTATGGCTGCAAGCTCTTAATTTACTATTTCATGCAAGCCTTGTAGCTGCATACATGTACAATATACTTGTGTTGGCTTGTGTCCTTCATGTTTGTATTCCTCCTGTGGGAATGCACCCAGAAACTAAATCAACATCCTATTACATGTTGGACTAAATCAATAATCTCACATCTGTGGAAGAGTGGGAGACTACAGTGGGTTCCTAGATACTTTGGGTGGGAATCAATAGGTCCTCAGATAGTACACATGAGTCAGAAGCCATCCTTTGTATTGTGCTATTTGCTAACTGGTAGTGAGCGTCCCATTTGTGTAGGTGGAGAATGACTTTTGCATTTTGTTTCCTTTGGTGCACTGCAGCTCAAATAGACTGCAGGAGGGCAGTAAATTGGAGGTGAAAGGAGGCCAGTGTTCCTGAAAGCAGCCAGGCAGTCTGAGTTGTTTGGGTCTGTGCGCAAATGAAACTCTCTGGACAATATGCCATGCACATATTTAGACACACATGGAAAACCAGAGCATCCAGAGCCTGGCTCCTGCCAGTGGGCATCAAAGAGAGCATCCCTGCTGGGATTTGACGCAACTGCATTACACTTCACAGAGAGGTAGGGCCAGCAGCCCAGGGAGAGCAGGCAACAGCATATGGAGAGAGGCAGAGGTTGACAGAAGTTAGTTATTTCTCTCTCTAGAGTGGAGTGCAAGGATAGAGAGTTACTGTGCACAAGACACACACAAACCAACACACACGTACAAATAGTAAGAATGCATGTTGCGACATATTTGCTAAATGACGAACAAAAACAAAAATAGCATACTTTTTTTTCCTAAAGACATAATATAGCAAGAAAACTTGGAGCAGGAATGATTGCTGGCACTTGCACAGACAAACACCACATCTTCTTTTCTCCTCTAAGTGCTTTGTATTGTTGGCACATTAGTAAACATGCCTGCGGCTGGCACACTGATGTTTGGGCTTTCCCTTCTTTGAGATAGGAAGGAGAAATTTTAGTTTGCTTATCCAGAGGTGCATCTTTGTGTTTGTGTATAATGAGAAAATCTATAATGGAAATGACCATTTTAATTCAGCCCTACACTCAACAAAACAAGAAGATTCAGTATTTCTCTTACCTTCTCTCTAATATTCATACATTATTAATTTATTGTTGGAAACTTTCTTCTTCATATATGTTGAATTATATGCTATATAGGCTGTTGGGGAGAATGCTTTGATATGTTAAGCTGACTCACTGTAGACTGACTAAAATTCTCTGTACTGTAGGTTACACTAGCAAATAAATGGAAATGTAGTAGTCTCTATTGACCCAACAATTAGTAGTAAAACACATACTTATTTTCCAGGAAACTTGTAAATAAATGTTTATTTCTAACTTCATTTCACCCATTTTCCAGGAGATAAACTCCAAAACAGGACATTTTCTGTTTAGCTTGTCAAATGATACATGAAAATGTACTGGAGGGACACTGTGCACTGCACCCTTGAGGTCTTACCTTGCAGTTTTGCGGTGCGGCATCAGAATTAGAATGCAGTGTTGGAGACAAAACAATATTTAGTCATCATGATTGGAAATGACATGCAATTACCATCAAGTCTGACGTTTAATTAGAGTCGGAGAGTCGTGTTTTGAGCTTAGAGAAGAGAGTGGGAGGGGAAGGCACCAAGAGCATGAATGTGTGTGTGTGTGTGTGTGTGTGTGTGTGTATTTATAATAAAATACTGTAAAAATAAAGTAGAATTATAATGGTTAATTTAGTCACTCTTAACCATCACCCTCTACCTGCCTGTCTCTCTACCTGTTTTGCTTCCTGTCACGATGATGATGATCGTTTTTGTCTCCTGTTTACTGCAGGGGAGCTGGAAAAGCAGCAGGGAGCCAAGACTCACTCAGTAAAAAACAACGGCACACAGCTAGAGCTGCGTGGCAAACCAGGCTCCCCATCAGGTGTGTGTGAGTGTGTGTGCATCGTTGCTTTTTAATTTTAAAACCCACTGCAGAGATGTTGTCCTCAATTGCATTTATTTACCTGCTGTTGAAACGAAGTTCAACCACTGCTGTTTTTATGAATTAATCAATTGGAAAAAGAAAACAAGGAGGCGCTAACTGTATCATTTTAACATGAAACAAATATTAGATGACTAAAGATCTGTGAAATAATTTTAAACCCTCTCTTCCTCATTTTTTAATCCCTGCCTTTTTATTACGATGTAATGTCAAGTCAGCCATTCACAGCACATGGGCAATGTAACGATGGCGGATTTATCATCAAAATTCATTTTGAAACAAGAATCCTTTGATTTCACACAGAGGTAGACAAGAGCAGGCTTCTTATCTCCAGCCCAAGACTGTAACTAACAGATTTATCAGCTGTAGCTAGTAATGTAGTCAAAGCTAACTCCATGAGTTAGCCTTCTTACAAGTTAATGATGAAGATGTGGAAGTAAACTGCAACACTGTTCTTGTAGTTGTTGCTCTAGCAGGTTTTTAGCCTTAGTATAGTGCAGTATAAGGAAAATGTATCACATTGTTATTTCGCTCTAACACCAGTCCCTGGTACGATGCTTAGCGTTAGCTTACTGTAGAAAACATTCTTGGACAAACAACAGAGGTGAGATTTATGCTTTATTGTTTGTGTTTCACTTTTACAAGGCTTTAAAGATGAAGACTTAATGACGAGTTTGGCATATGTAAAGCTATTTTGAGTAACAAGTTTGGCTGCGTTTGCTGGAGTGTAAATTCCCCAAATCTACACAAAGAGCAGGACACGGCTGCTAACATACTGATAGTAAACCATCTAGGACCAAAGCACACCTTATTCCAATCATTACGTTTTTGTTGTTGTGTTTTTCTTTTTTTGAAAGGCATTCCATCTAAAAGAAAAGCTTGACATGCCTGCCATGCCTAGTTATGGTTGCTAAGCTGTTATTGGACTAGTGATGTTTGGGGGAAAGGGTTTAGCTGTAAAAATTGGCTCCCCCTTTTAAACTTAGAATAGGATGTCAAATGTACATTTTCTTCAAAGTATCAAAATGTTTTTTACTAAATCCGCATAGGGTTGCAAAGTGTGAAGAGCTATTTTGGACACCCCAGTCCCATTTGTTTTTTTTGTGACGTGATTCACAGCTCAGAGCTCTTTCACAACTTGGATGGCATGCAGCTCTCCTTGTTAGATCATCTGTCCAGAATATCAACAACTGCATTAGAAAATTTCTGGTTCATTGACATGAAGTAGAAGGTACAAGCTGGTATAGCTAAAGATGACGCTGAATACGTACGAATAAAAGCAGAAGTAGCAGTAGTAGTAGTTGTCTGGTTTATTAGAAGTAAGAAGAGAAGTGAAATTTGGAGAAATGTAGGACCACATGTATTACTTAGCACAAGAGCCGACAGAGCGTGTCGTTCACCGTAGCTTTTCCTCCGCAATTGGAAAGGTAGGGGTGAGCAGTGACTGATGGTGCATTTATGTGGTGTCAGAATAATCAGAACTTTTCTCCTTCTTAAATCTTCATTGCAAAAAGAGGAATAAAGTGGACATGGGACATTAAAAAATATAGAACAGTATACAAATATATAAGAAGACACAAATAAAAAAAATCTTTGCCAGTGGTACTATACTATATTATATGAAAATAAAATATATTTTCACACCCTTTTTGTTGTTGGATTTAAAAATTAAATTTATATAATGTACAGCCTCATGGAGAAAAAGGACAAAGTTAGTTTTTTTCTGCTGAACTTAATAATTTTTTTTACATACTTATTTCGTCCAAGGAGCAAGTGAATGCATAGTGAGCCATTTGATGTCTTTTGCAACACTCACCACTAGATGCCACTAGAACGGACACACTGTACCTTTAAATTCCTTGTATGAAGTACCTTAATGTAAAGTTTATTTCTTCCTTGCTCCCAAAAACATTTCAAGATGCTGTAAAAGATAGAATTGTTAAAGAACTGTTTAACAGACATTTTGCTGCCTCTTTTGTCCCCTTTCCCTCCATTTTCTCCTCTGTCCAGGAAACCTGGAGGTAGATGACAGAAGTGGACACAATGCAGTAGAGGTAAGTACTCAGTGATAGGGCCATGTCCCACACAACAGGTAAGTCAGTGCAGTGTGTTATCACCAAGGTATTGTAGGATGAGATAGAATGAAACTCCAGAACCAGTTATATCTTTAGGGCTAGAGGAGTCAAGCAAGAGTGGGTGAAGAGTGGATGAGAGAGCGAGTGCCACTATGTTAAGTAACCCAACCAAAAACAAAATATTAGATAAAATGACTAACTTGCCATACAAAATTAAAGATGGTGGTTTGGGGAAATTTAGACAGTCATAGCATTGTCAGGACAAGTTCTAGTCACAGAAAATGCATCAGACTCAGAGGCTTAAATATTATCTGTAATCCTAAGTAGGAATAGGTTGTAATTAGTTTCAAAAGCTCAGGCGAACCCTTTAAACGAAAAAAGAGAAAGCAGCCATTGCTAAAAGTAGCTGAGGACACATGTGAAATGTATATACTGTGTGTGCGTGCCCAGAGTCAGCACCGAGACCTTAATTAACACATTAACATGCAGGCGGATAAATTTAACGCTCATTTGACCCGGAGTTGTCGCCTCCTCACCCCCTCCAAGACCTCAGGGGGGGGGAAGAAAACTTCTCGTGTGAACATTTCGTGCGAGCAAGAGAGCAAGCTGAACTACAGTACCCATGGGGCTTTGCAGTTACCATCCTAGAGACATCAGATGACCTTTTCTAATCCTTTCTGTGGCAGCAGAGTTGAGAGATGGAGTGAAAAGCAAAATAGCAAAAACACACAGGGTCAGTTTGACATTCAGTGGCTGTTTGATTCCATACAGCTCACTGATATACCCACAGTGTTAGGCTGTAAATCTTTACTCAGGTGCTTGTTAGAGTAATTACATATACATCACACTGAAAGGCTTCGGAGCTATTTAATTAATGCAAACATGCATTCATTGCTGCTCAAGAGACACTCAAAGGCATAAAAATAACAGATTGGGGTTTTTTTTGAAAGTGCAGTGGAATATCTGCAATATTTTAGGCATACAAGGTATCTCTCGCTCAGTAGCCTTTGGGTCCTGATAATAGGGAGCTATGATCAGGTCAGTCTTCGTGGTTGTCTTGAGCTACCTTCACCAGCCGTCTTCTTCGCTACCACACAACCTACAGTAAATGTCATGGCTGGTGGGGAGCCGTTAGCTGTCGAAACACATTTATCTTGGAAACCAGGAGGTTCACCCAGAGAATCCTGCTTATACTAGAGGCATGAATATAGGGCTGACTAAATCCCACTGCAAGCTTTAAATCAGAATTTGATAAGGAGGGTGTTGAGATTTTGCTGTCTCCATCAGAGCAGTACCAATATGCTAGTCTGTGCAAATGTTTCTAAGTGGCTAAAGACTTTTAAAAAGACTGTCATTGGTGTAATTTACATCCCACCCTCGCTTTTCAAAATCCTGTTTTTGTAGTCACACAATTTTAGACTGTCATGATAGTGGGCTTTCCACCAACAATCCCAGTGACATGGTGGAGAACACGTTTGAACGGAAGTGTTGATTGGTGGGGTTTCTTTTTTTTGACATGAAGAGCAAAGGCCAAACACTAAGACAGCCATCACCACAGAGGCAAAAACAGACTGTTGCAGGAAGTAGCTCTTTTAAACTCTGCCAGCTACTCCTCAGGTACAACCAATCCAGCCACCTATCAACCCACTCTGTCCACCGGCGTCACGAGGCAAGACACATAATCAAAGTGGGTGGCCTTGTCACAGTGAAGTAATGTCAGCTGGCTTCTAACTGGCTATCAGACTTAAATGCTGTGGTGGAAAGGAAACTGAATTACCTGATTTAGCTTACTGTAAAACCATATTGTGACTGTTTGTTGTTGTGACATACTGTACATATTTTATTATTATGTCAGTATAGTAAAACTTTTCTTAGGGATAACTTCTAATAATAAACCATTTGATTTGCATGTTGTTCATTGATGGTCAGCTTAAAGGAGTAGTTTTGGGAAGTACTATTATTTGTCTTCTTGCTGAGAGCTAGATCAGAGCACTTATACATGCTCCACTCACCGATCTTTCAAGTATGGAGCTGGAGCCAGGAGACAATTAGCTAGCTTACCAAAGACTGGAAACGAGGGTTAACGGCTAGCCAGGCTCTGTATGTGTCATTTGTACACAAACATAAATGACAAGTTGTGGTTTTACAGGGAGTTACATGCTGGATCTGTTTCTTGGCTGAGCGCATTGACTTCCAGGGTTGTGAGAATCACTCCTATTATAATCACTCCCTACACATTACAGTGCTCTATAGTTACTCATTTTCTGTACTAATTTTTCATTCTTTTGTGGGAATCTTTGGGGGGACTATGTAGTGCATACATCTCAGAATTTGGAAACTCAAATAAATACACTATATAGTAAATAGGGAGTGATTGCAGACACAGTATGAGTATTCCTATTTATATTTTGATAGATAGATATTTAATTAATGTCCTGAAAGAAAAGGATAGTTGTTGTTTTCTTGCTGAATTTTAGCAACCAAAAAACTAACTTAATGAACATTTTACAGTCACGGATATTTTATAACCACCACTGAATTTCTTTTTGGTCATCTGTTGAACAAAGTTATTATTCATGCTTAGAAATCAAACTTTAGAAAGGCACCAGAAAGTCGGAGAAATCCTTCATTCTTTATCTAAGGTGATTCAGAGCTCATTGATACTGTACTCTGAGTGTATGTGCTAAGTCGTCAAGGAGAAAAAGTGGTTGGCAGGTTGAATAGGAGCAAATGTTAATGGAGTTTTTTCACACAAGAGTTACACCAGCTCCTGGAAGAGTATGGAAGAACACTGCCGTTTCTTCCCCTCAGATACTTTACATTAAAGGTTTATTATATTACAGGTGACCTTATTCACTCAGTTGCCATTTTGAAGATTTTTTTGGGAAGCTATATTCTGATTGACACACAGTGGATTAAAAGTGAATTTAAAACTAATATCTTTAGTCAGAAATTGGCAAGAATCTGAGGAACTTCCATGCTTTAAAGTACAGAGTTAGTAAGTTAGAAAACTTAACAATACATAGCAGAGCTGCTGTGAGACTCATTATTTGAGACTTGAATGCCTCCTGATTCAACTTGACTTGAGACTTGAAGGCATAAAGCTGAGGAGACTTGACTTAAATATTGAAAAATGCTATATTGTGCATAGTTTTTCTTTTTGGAGCACTTCTCAACTGTCATGAAGAATTTATTATATGCAACATCTCCATAACCTAATGAAAACTTTAGAATGAAAGGCTAATTTCTCTCATCTGAATTTAATATGAATTATTATCTTTACATCAGTAGCTCAATAGTTTCCCCTTCTTGTGTTCAGCATATCACCTATTTTAATTCCTGCAGCTGCGCAAATTATTCTTGCAACCAAATCATTTATGTGCTAGTTACTGCTTTTATCTCTCACAGGATCTCTTTTTTCATTTGTCTATTGTATCAATTATTAGAAATTCTTTATTTTTATGCCGCCCGCCCTGTTTTAAACAAACTGGACAGTAAATGCCCTTGATTTGAAAAAAATGATTTGGTGTGATCTCTCTGGTACATAGACAGATTTTAGTTAGCTCATACAGTAGCTACTGATAACAGGAAACGTGGCATTAAAATGACAAGAAGATTAATCACTACCAGTAATATGGTGTATTTTTTTTTGGAATTTCTTTTGTAAACTTGACAATGCAATTATTTAAAAATTGCTGTTGTGTGAATGTTAATGTAAGTGTAAATGAGCACAGTGTGTTAAAATCCAAACAAGCTCTGTGAAAAGCTAGAGAAATATATTGTCTAACACAAAAAGATGATGTAGGATACATTATACACACATTATCCAAAAACATGCAACAAGTTTGACATCAAAATAGAAATGTAGTGATGTGGTCATCACAATGGATGCTCGACATTTTCTACTTTAAGTTTGAATTTAAACACATTTAGTTGTATTCAGCAATCAATTAACCTAATCTTAACCTTTGAGGTGACAAACACTATGCTAACCCAAGCCGTTAGCTCGCGACAAATAGGAAAATAGCCTGCCTGACATGTGGTTGCATAGTTCTTACATTTTTCACATGACTTATGTCTACTACACATAATATGCATTTCATTTAATTTTGATGATCCTCCCTATATTTTTGTTTTGGCATATGCTTTCCGAGAAAGGCAGTGTAAGGTGACTTAGAAACGTGACATGTTTCCCAAAATAGGATTCATAAAAAGAATTCAAGGAAGGATACAATACAAGAACACAGAAAACCGACTTTAAGGGGAGGAAACTGTAGAGAATATTGTGAGTTGAAATAAATGTGACATACGGAGGTTTGCATTCTGATGAGTGTTGCCTGTGGATGTCTGTGGTTGTCAGCCTGCTCACCTCCTCTCCTCCTCTTCTTCCACCTCTCCCTCTTCGTAATGACCTCCGTCTATGTTTTGGTTACCCAAACCCCCCACAAATCTCCTCATGTCCACTGTCCCTATAGCGCCACACAGTGGTTTGGAAGGGAGACACAGGGGCCCTCAGTGTCCCCTTTGGAACCACCGGGCCCCTTCTGTAGCGTCGCACCAAATTTCTTATCCCCATTACCCACCACTGTCCTCCTCCTGACCCCAGTCACACACTGGTGTTCCCAGCATCCAGTCCACACTGTTCCCAGTCACTGTAGGGGTGGAGGGAGGGGAGTGTGCAGTAGTCACAATGATTTTACACCTCCACTGACCCCCAACACCTAAGCCCCCACGCATGCCCTGTGTGTGTGTGTGCTGTGCGTTCACCACCCCCACCCCCCCAAAAAAAAACTAAAAGAGGGCTTGACGGATTGTAGAGGAGGAACCAGTTTTATAACATTTGATGCTGTTCTCTTGGCTGTTTTCTAAACTAGGTGTCAATTCACAACAGGCTTCAGACGTACCAGCTCAGCAGCAGCACGGCTCGGAGTCCCGAGAGCGTGGCCCTTCTTAACCACGGGGGGGAGCTGCTTTTCCAGCAGGGGCTCCAGGGGCTGCCCCAAGGGCTAACCCAGGGGCCGGCGCCTCCACCTCAGCACCCACAGCTGCAGTCAGCGGCAAGCACCCCTGCCCACCACCTCCACCTCCAGCAGCACCACCAGCCCACCGTCAGCATGGCTGATCTGCGGCCCGAGACACTCATCCAGTGTCAGCAGATCGTAAAGGTCATCATGCTCGACAACAGCGGCCACGGACGCGTGGAGGCCTTCCTCAGCCAAACGCCCACACACCACCACTACCAGCACCACCACCACAGCCACCACCAGCTCAGTCAATCAGCCATGTCCACTCCGGTCCGCTCGTCGGACAGCTCCCACAGCAATGACGGCCACCAGCCCCCGCTGCCTCCTCCACCTCCGCCTTACAACCACCCGCACCAGTATATACCCCCTGACCCCCGCCTCAGTCTACATCGGACCCCGAGTGGCTCTCGGAGCATGGTGTAAATAGATGAATTAGTATTCTTTTCCTGAACACACACACACACACACACTTCCACACAAACCCCACCCCTTCCCTACCTATTTAAAAGTACATAATGTACATATATATACATACAGATGAAAGAGCTATAATGAAAAAAATGAAATCTCACTTATATGCATATATAAGGAAAAAAAAACTAAAGGAAAAAATTAAGGTTTTAGAAGATATACAGAGAAATAAAGTGCATATATAAAGTTTTACTTGATTCCACATGTATTTTGAAATATTATGTAGTTTTAACAAATTTCGATAACTTTTTGTCAGTTTTAAATCTTGCTAGAGAAAACACAAATATTCAGTTTCTGGATGGATTCCTTGTAGTTCCAGAAGTCACCAACAACAACAACAACAGAAACACATGAATCCCTCAAACCTTTTTTGGATTGTGACGGATGGATTCACTCCAAGGACCTTCAGCTTCTGTTCGCTTTTATCATCCCAAACCTCATGCCTACTGTGCTGTGTGTGCGCGTGCGTGCATAGTTGACACTTACAGAAAACATGTGCCAAAATACATAACGCCTCCACTACACACTGACTTCTTTGCACTTGACTAAACACTAGGGACAGAAGAAAAGAAAAAAAAAACTTCTTTGCTTTGAAAAAAAATAGTCCTTTCACGCTTTTCCCTCAAGGAGCACACACACACACACACACACACACACACACACACACACACACACACACACACACACACACAAAAGGAATAACAAAAATTATATTTCATAAAAACTTATCTCCCCGTTTGCACTGTTGCTGATTTATTTATGTGATGGAGAGCCTTCTCTCTTGTTCTCTGTTCCACCGGATAAAAACAAAAAACAAAAAAAACGACCATCCACCAATAAGCTGTGTTTATCATCTGCTCCTCTGTTCTGTTGTGGCTCTCTATCATCCAAAAACACTCTTACCCTGTTGTCACTATCCATAGATCACTCTACAGTGAAGGATGACATGGAAACAAAGGCAACCAATCACATGGATTGCTGCCAAACCAAAAAGTCAGCCCAAGATGGTTCAGTTGATTGTTGTTTGTCTTTTACTCTTCATGTTTATTATTGTTAACGCTTCACAGGTGTTCATACCACATTTATCTGCTGATAGGGAGGGAAAGTTTGTCTCATTTTGAAATTGTTTGAGCTGCCAAAACTGCTGGACTTTAAAAACAACTCACATTCACATGTAATATATATGTACAACGCACTGTGCTGTCATCCGTTGTGTATGAAATCGCCATGAATTTCCATGAAGACGCCTCTGCTACAACTGTTAAATGTCAAGATCTATGTGTGTTTTGATTTGCATACAGCATATTCCACCTTTTGTGTGTTTTTTCCCCGTGGGTGGATAAATGCAGGACCGAGTCAACCCACAAAACATCCAGACAGTGTCTCTTTATGTCTGTACAACTTGTTGTACAGACATAACTGGTTTCAGCTCCTTGTGACTGATTTTCTCTTCCCTCCTAACCTTTCAGTCTGACATTTTGAAAAAGGCAAAACTACAGAGGCACACACAGCTTATATTGCAAATGCTGGCATTAATGGTATTTTATGTGCTGTTGGCTACCCTGCTTTAAATAAGAATGGGACAAAAAAAGAATGCATTATCTGATCTCTTTCTCTTTCACCCCAGCCTAGATTGTAAATACCACATTCAAGCAGTGTCGGAAAAGACAAGCAAGCTACCTTTAGCCCCTTCAAAATGCTGTCACCCTGTCACGCGTCCTTCTTTCAGAAATAGGCCAGCGACTGCTCCAGCCTGAATGCTTCCATCTTTTAAACATAAGCACCCCCCCCACACACACACACACCTCCCCACCACCAGGTACTGTGGAATAGATGTTAACTCTGCTCCACTCTGACCCCCATCTGTCTGATTTGTTGATTTATAATCACAGAGACACTGCGGGGAGGTCTCTATCTCATCTTCCTGTCCTTTTCCACTCACATTTTCACCCAGTGGAAGGACAGAGGTTGCAGAAAAACAGTTTGTTGTTCTGGCTGCCAGAGATGACAAGTGTGCGTGTGCATGTGTGTGCGCGCAACCTCCTCAAGGTAGCATCCTAACCTTCCCGTAAACAAATTTGAGCTCTCCTCTGTTCATCCCAGGAATTGCTTTTATTATAATTTCAAAACACAATAAGAAGAATTAATGCTTTTAAAATTAGCTTTAAAAAAGAGCTATTGTGATCATTAAAAAAACAACTTACAGCTTAAAAACAAACTTTTGAAGGTGATACATTTTAGCACACAACTTCAAAAGTTCTGGTATTTAGTATTTAAAATTGATGGATGATTATTGTATGATTGTTCATTTATTTGTTTAAATCAACATTTAGATATAAAAGGATTCTTTTCTCATGCATGACATCAGTTTGGAGGCCTGTTGAACTCAAAGTCTTGGAATTGTTTGTGCATGACTGAAGTTGCTGTGAGCGCACTAGTGGGAGATGAGGATGACCAAATACTTTGTTATGCTGTAAACATTTGTGGTGGAACTGGGGGAAAAATATTATTTAAGACAGCAAACACCCCTTCAAACAGAAAATGGATTTACAGTGCCATATGTGAGGGCTCTATTTTGCCAAACCATGGCCATTTTTGTTTCCCCGTCTTTCACTACCCTTTGTTTATGGTTGCACAGTTTTTCCTACTTGACAATGTGTTTAAGCATTTGGGGAGATAGGCGTACTGTGTGTGCAATAAACATGAATAAGGGGCACACTGAAAATCATGACTTCATGTTTGAAAGGAAACCAATGTAGCATTTTGGGACTGCAGCATATGATACGAAAGCGCATTAGAGGCTAACTTTCTTAAAGAAACTTTTTTAAAAAGGGCTCTGTCATATCAGTGCACTGCTTCATGAATGATGCGTGGATCTTGTCTGGCTCTTCAACACTGTGTTTGCTCATACTAGTTTTAAAAAAAGTCACTAAAAGTGGACATACTATTTAGGGTAAAACAGGTGGGTGTAACAGATACGGACCATCACCTCCCTGGCTTTGAATCCCTCTCTACCTGTCTTTGCAGTATATCAACCTGCTATTAAAGATGATTTAAGTCTATTCACCACAATGGTTTGCTTTGGTTATTGGATTTAAGGGCTTGATTCTTCAAAATCAATGGAGTCAATGTATTTTTACATGATGTGGAAATATTCATTATCAAATGGCATGTTACACAACATTGCATTACACCAAGACGCAAACATTTTAATTTTAGTAAGTTTAAATCAAAATATACCGTATGAACAAGTAAAATTTTGAACTAAATATTTTATTTTGTTTTTAAAAAGTCATACATACACATAGCATCTTGGATAAATAGTTAAAATGGCTGTAATAAATATGTATTTTATCAACAAAGAATCACATGACTACTTTTGTGCGAAAGGGGTCGCTTGTAATAACAAACCCACAGAGAACCATCACCCAACTCAGCTCTATGAACTGTTTTAGTGCTTTTTAGCTCATATTTTTGGTCTTCCGGCTTGCATTCATCAGTGTAGTTTCCAGCAGCAGCAGGCAGCTGCTTTCAATAATAAAAAAACAATGTACACTGCCTGCCCAGTACCAAACATTAGACAGACATATTTAGCAGCTGTTGATACAGGTGGAACATTTAGCAGCTAAAGAGACAGCTGTTTCCCTCAGGAGCTGATGGAGACAAACCAGAGCCAAAAGCGTGAATATTGGGAGGGGGATAGATATATGTTTTGTTTACAGTTTGTTTCTGCTGCACCCAGGTGGCCACAAAAATTCTGTTATTGCATGATATATCACATCACTTTTCAATCTATCTCAGTTGTGTAATGGACTACTTTTCAGTAATTGTAATATGTAATATGTAGTAATTTATACCATATAAGAATAACACACATTTTTAGTAAGCATTCTTCAGTGAAACACTCATTTCAACTTTACAAGAGCAATAAGTAATAAGGAAATTAAAACTCTGTCTGTCTACCAAACACTTCTAGATGCTGCAAGATGCTGGTGGAGAATGGAGTTTATTTTGTTTTCACTGACATGAAAAAACTGGAGTAAAGTCAGGGCAAATCCTTCATACATCTCATTTGACAAAATTCCCAAACTGACAAAACAGAACGTTTTCTCATGCTACATCTCTTTAAAAAAACCACATACTTATTATAGGGACACAATTATATTTACATTTTTCTAATATTTTAATCAAGCAAGCTGCCGTGAATGCTATTTCTTGAGATAATAAAACATCATTTAAAACTCAAAGCTGTGTTAATGGACAAACTGTCTATGGTGAATAGCCTATACAACTTTCATCACATTCATATTACAGTCACAAATGCTTTCTTTTTGTTTTTGTAGGTCTGGATCAGCAAACACAATAAATATAACTCCATGGCCCACATATTTATTGCAGGACAAAAATATCACAGTGGCTGGTTGGTTGGTTCTTTAAGCTACCACTAGCAAATACATTTATTACATTTGTGGTTTATAAACAAGAGTGATTTTGTTGAGTAGTAGAGACAATTTACAAGTAGGATGAAGACATATGTTAATGGTATATATGTGGTATATGTACACAGGTTCACTGCTGTTACAATAGCATTCAATTTGTGGTCAAAACTTACTCTTTTATCGCAATAGGACATTTCATGTTCTTCATTTGCTAGCCAGAATTTTCAGCACAATTTAAAATGGAAGACAACATGGTGAAATACTTTACAAGATTCCATCTGTCCAATTGTCAAATTTCAATGTTGACCACAGTAAGCCCTGGCAGACAGGGGAAATTGGCAGTCAGATTATTTCGACCTGAACAATCATGGCTAGACAGGAGCATCGCCCACGCTCCCTGTGTGTGTAAATTCTTCATGCCCCGATGGCTTTTCATCCTCCTGGGAAGTTGTCATCTTCCGCCAACGCTGGTCAAGTAAAGAGAGTTACATCAGTCTCGGATTAGTATTAAATGCTAAACAGTTATTCTTGAAGGTGAGTTCTGAGATGAAAGTTGGGTGGGCCAAAACGTACTAATAAATAACATAAAAAAGTAAACAATAATGCTTAGCTGTTATATACATGTTTTTAATTAAATTAAAAGCAGAGAAAACAAAATGTTTCAAACTAAGTTTATCAGCTTCATAGATTTCGTCAATGGCTTGAGGCCAAACCCATTTTTTTCTGTTTCTTACTGAATGCAGTCCAAATAACTCCTGCCTTCCTGCACCATATCTCTCAACTCTCACCAGTACTATTTATTTTGAGTACTGTGTCCGTTTCTCCCTCATCACCAGTTCCAGACAGCAGTATCCTTGGTACATAGCTCAGGGAATAGACATTAAAAACAGAGAAAACAGTGAGACGTGTATATGGAAGTTTGTACCTGTTTGATGCTGCCCTTGGTGGTGCAGAACATGTAGATGACATATCCCGGGACCAGTATCATGGAAGACAAAGCCATGAACCAGCCGATCACTTGGCCCCACAGCGGGTACACATACTTCCCCAAGGTCAGAGGGGTCATCTCAATGGCACTGAAGGTAAACACCCCCTAAAATATCCAATTATGTTATATAATCAGTTTTTAAAAGGCTACAGAATGAGATAAGCAAGCAAGTTATGTAAAATCATTGTTTGACAAGCAGTTTTTATTTTTTATTTTATGGACCTGTATCACACTTAAACAGCCATTTATACAGTTTTTTTACACAGTTATTTGTAACCTTGATGTCTTAAAAAGAGTCTACAGCAATGCTAGTGCTGTAATGCTAGCTAACAATAGTGAGCTGAATGCTAATGCCGGCACGCTAACATGCTCACAATAACAATGCTATCATGCTAATATGTAGGTTAGCAAGTAAAATGTTTACCGGGCTCACAATCTTACTTTAGTGTGTTAGAATGCTAATGGTTAACATTTGCTGGGGCTGAATGTCATTTTCAGGTATCTGCTCTTAAATGATACTGGACCATTTAAAAGCAGATGGTGGGGGCATAAATAGCAAGACAATTCAAGACCTATGTGGTGGACCAACTGGCTAAATGCGTTCACTTTTCAACCAAATTTTGTTTTAAGTTAACTTGAACATCATCAAATCAGTGCTTCGAGGGAGTAAGATGCGCTTAATTTCCATCAATAGGCAATTGCTTCCTTGAACAGTACAATTCATTTATCACTACAGTCACTTTATTGAAGATAGAGATATTGCCATGATTTCCCTGAGGGCCTAGTCCATAAGCTAAAGTACAAATCACCACAGAGGAAACCAATACAACAACCAATGCAATGTCATCAATTCTCTACCTATTGGCACCTGCTGTAGCTACTTGGGTTGGAAGATCTCCATGAGGGAGAAGGAAGCACAAAGTAGAGTTCGACATTGAAAATCGCATATTATGGAGGGTTAAATCAATAATCATTTCCCGCCTACCAGGCAGATCATGGGAGTGAAGAACATCCAGCAGAGCTTCCACCAGCCACATGGCCTATAGCCGATCATGTCCTCAATGTTCTTATAAAACCTTTCAGCTCCTGTGGCGCAAAGAGAGGAGGACAAAGAAGACATGTGCGTGTTAATGTTGAGATAATAGCTACAAGAAAGCTTATGGGGCGAAAGAGAAGGAAAGCTGATTGGACAGGGAGTCTTATCAGAAAGTGGAGCAGATTAATGTAATTTCCTGTTGGACAGCTATATAGGAAATCTACATAACTCATTCATTTGGTGACTTGGCACACTATAGTCCTTTCTATCCAGACCGTCTCAACTTTTTACAGCTGTGGTTATATTTGATTTCACAGTGTTTACAACGGTCAAAGCGTAGACAGTATTAGATAGATTTCCTACCATAAAACCAGGATATGGAAACAGTTTCGAAGAAGACGAGGAAGAGAAGACACATCCCACTGGCGGAGTAGTAATCAAACAGCTTGAACACGTACAAACCACCCTGGGAGAATTCAACACAGACACACACAGACACACCTATCTGCTTCAGAGGCTGAATATTAATATCCCTCTCTTTATTGAATAAAATATGCAGGATGAATGTACACCGCAGGTTGTTGCAAGATCGTTTTTGCATTATGTAAAATGCAGGAGGAGGCTCTTTTCTCTAATGTCAGAAACAAATGTTCATGTGTGTATTGGGTTTTAAGACAAGCACCTTATAATACCTACTCATACCTACACACGTCATGCAGTGATAGTTAACCGCAGTGGATTAAAACAGAACTACATGGTTAAGTCCTCTAAACATTTTTTAATATTAGAGGGCATTTAATATACAGAGGTGCACACAACTCTACCTGTGTGATGTTGGAGAAGCCGATGATGAAGGAGATGAAGCAGACAATGAGGATGAACACCTTCTTCCTCTTCCTCAGCAGCAGGGGATATTCATCCATCAGCGCTGTGATGAAGCCTTCAACTGTGCAGAACTAATAAATAACATTAACAGACATGGGTCAAAATGGACTGTAGATTTATATTAACAGCATACTCGATTAACTCTCGTACCGTACCGTACTCATACCGATTTAGCGTTGCACTCCTATAACATTGCCAGACAACGGGCAGTTAAAACAAAAGATGGAGTAGAACCAGAGATATTGTATTTTTTTATTTTATGCATTCCTCTTACCCACAATGCAATACAACCACTGACAGTTCAGAAAGATATTCAGGAAAGATATTCAGGTGTCGCACTTGAGTCCAAGTGCGTTGGAAGGGGGGGGGGGGACAATGAAGAAGGAGATAGAAGAAGATGTACTTTATGTGTATATATTTAAGTAATAATTAATAATTAAGTAAGGTTTTTACAGGTACACACAGCATGCTTGAGTTATGTATATCAAGTATGCTGTGTAAACCTGTAAAGCATTTTGTTTCCTTTACAGATACCTGATGCTTTCTGATAAATGGTGTATTTTGGGTCCCGTGCTTATGTTTGTCCAATGCTCAAATCCATCCATCAAACAAAACAGATAGTTCAAAATTGTATACAATCATATAATTTAAAATCCCCAACCCCAACAGAAAGTAGAACCAACTAAAGCAGTGAGCTGTCAGACCCCCCCTCCCCCAA